AGTATACAGAAAAATATCACGCGAAAGTTTCAACTTTATTAATACAGGATCTACAGGTGAAGTTTCAACTTCACCTGTAGATCCTTTATGCAAAGTGTAACAAGATTCACGAGAATGAAACAAGATTCACGAGAATGAAATCTGGAATATTCCAGTATGCTTATCTGAAGAACTTCTTCGTTAGCACCATCACAATAAGAGTTAATTCAATTGATTTTTTTAGTTATATGATGTGAGTGGCATCAGTGAATTCTGATGTCTTCATATGGACCACAAACCGTGGAATAGACTCGACTATCTTACATGAGCGAGGGTTGATAACTGAATAGAAAATTAGTCTGCATGGATAACGTCTGAAAAGTTTAAATCTTAATCGCGGAGTGGTATATAGACCTTAGCAGAATTCATGGAATATTATTCTGGTTCTTGAGCAACCTATCCATTGTTTAAAATGCTTTAAAAAATCTGGATAAAATTTCTGTCTGCCAATACTACGGTTTTAATCAAATTATGAGATATGAGGTTTATAAAAAAATTGAAATCATTTAAAAAGGCTGTGAATTACATTTTAGGTGTGCTGTAGAGAAAATATACGACTTCTCCAAGTTAGGGGAGATAAATGAACGACGCTCATTCCCAGTGGATATAATTCGTTACAGTTGGTTGAAAAGAAATAAGCAACAGAAGATAGAACTGATGTTCTAGACTTAAATTATAGACCTGTCCCTGGAATATTAGAAATAGCTAAAAGAGAATCTGAATCATTTTCAGAATTCTAATGAGTAATGAACTACCAATCTCAAGGTACCGACAATAATGTCAAATTCCATATTCTTAACAAAGATTACAAGTATGAAATTGCTGTAAACGTTCTATTAGAACAATAATTTAATAGATCATTTCTGCACAATATCGAATTTCAAAGCGATGAACTGACGATGTAATGAATTTGCAAAAAGACTTCTCATTTACGTTTGTACTTCGTGCTTATGGTCTCAAGGTCTGCATCAGATGTAGATGTTAATTTTTTTCCCTTTAATTAATGAAAACATACGACAGAAAAGAATGAAAAATTTCATGCAGAATAGGAACAACTCTCTGATAGGTAAGTATGATATTAGTTAATTAATTTCAAAATAAACATTTAAACAGCAATCATTTTATTTAAGCTGATGTTAATTTATTCGAAGTGGATCCGATAAATGCATTCGGTAGATAGCAAATTTGTGCTTTTAAAATCAATTCTAGTATATATCGTTCCTGATTACAGAGAATATTAAAAATATTTAATGTAAAACTAAATTATTACTAAATGAGTATTTAGATATTTTTGCTGCATAAGAGTCATTGTGAGGTATTTCCTTAAAAGGAACAAAATTACGAGATAGCTGAATGTTTTCCTTTTCATATTATCTTCGAATATAGTATAGAGAGGAAGAAAAACACAAACGCATACTACTTTAGGAGGTGGAACATTTTTCATCAGTGATAGTAGTCTTAAGCTTAAACATCGTACGTTGACATTCCTCGTTCGTCGCGCCGCTTTGATAAAAATGGCAGCTTTGACCAGCTTGTAAAAGCGATGTATATTCTTATATTAGGGCCACACTTTATTGTTTAGAAATTATATACAATATCAGTGTAACTGTGGAATTGGAACGTTCAAATTGTCTAATTAGTATTGATAACTGCAGTATTTACAAACATTGTAAAATATATAAATGCGTAGAATAAAAAACTGTATTGCTGTATCTGGAAAGATGGGTGCAGAATTTTTGATGTAGGCAAGAGTACGGTCGTTGAACTTTTTTAAAATACTGATGGTACATTTTTTATTGCGAACAATACGTAACCAAAGAAGAAATGTAAACAAAAAGAAACAAGAAAAAATAAAAACTAGTCTGCAGTACTTTGATAATATAAAATTCCATCCTGGAATGAACGAAGTTTTGTGGTAAGATGTAGAAAAACAGAATGCTATGGAAGACAGTTTCACTAGTCATATTATGTTTATAGGACAGCGTTGACGGAAAAAGTGTTCGCCTGTGAAAAAAAAGCCAAAATTTTATGTAGGTCCTTATTACTAATGATTAATAATAAGCTTAGTGCATTTATGTCATAAAATGTTTTCTGCCACCTTCTTGTTAGTCATGATTAGCATTATCCCGTCTGTACGATCTCAGGTTACCCTTTCTGATCGTCATTTTTAACTACTGGTAATGTAGTTTTGTTCTGCATATCAATATTTACAGAGTGATCTGTTCCTGGATCGTGAACTGAATAAGTTTCTTGTAATTTTGCAAAATATTTAACTGATATTTTATATCTCTTTCAAAGTTTTCAGTGACTGAAACTAACATAATAAGCAAAATCAGAAAAATAAAGTAACAAATAAGTACTATGCTTTTTTCTTTACACGTTCTAGAGTAAATTTTAATGCTGCACGTTATGTCGAAATAGTCTTATCAATATTCAAAGCACGTCTTTCAGTTAATGGTATTATTTACTCACTTCTAACCAAAAAGATGGATTTGTTATTATATTCATCATAGGTGGACTAATACATTATATCACCTCGGCAGAGGATGTCGAAGAAGGTACCCTTTCCATAGCTCCAAGTAAATTCTTTATCCGTTTGTTTAGATTAATTTTTTAATTAATTGGGTATATTAAACGAACTTAACGCCCTTCCACTTTGATGTGCAACCCGTCGTTTGATCTGAAGCTGATGCTGTAATTACAAATTTTTTTTCTGAATTAAGTTACAGAAACAGCCGTAGAAAAGAGTCACTTGTTGAAGCTGTGATATGATATGCTGTTAAAAATAGTTAGAGATCACCTTGCTGTCATCTTATGAGGCATATATACTGGTTATCATAAATTAAGGAAAAATCACAAAAACAGCAATACCTCCTTCAAAAATAAGCCAAACCGTGTAAAATTTCAATATGTTGCCAAGTAAGAGTAACTGAGTAAAACTCCAATATGCAAATTAGTGGCGCTGCACTCGGAATACGTCATCTGCGAAAAGCATAAAAAGTCCATGTTTCAGAGCAAGACCGCCTATTTCACTGTGATAGTGACATCAGAAATCTGAGATAGCCAATTCGTAACAATGACCTCCAGCCATCATTTGTCTGCAGAACTACGATAGAGAGCCATTGGGAGACTAGAGGCAGGACAAAGTCAAACAGAAGTGATCAGATGGCTAAATGTGAGTCCTTCTGTGGTTCATAGACTTTGGAGGGGGCTATTTCAAATCACGGGATTCGGCCCTTTCAAGGAGCCAATGCAACTGTTACGATGACCCCCATTATACACTCAGGAATAGAACCGCTACTCCGACTTCTTCGATCCTCCCTTGCTGCGCCACCGGGAGGTTGGTGTCGGTGAACTGTGCGTAAGGGCTTCGCGAAGGTGGTCTGTATGCGAGGGCGAACAACCATCTGCGTGGTGCGCTTAAGTCACGCCATAGGGGGACCGTTTGCAGTGGACAGAAACATGTCCATGGACGCCTGAGCAATGGAGGGCTTATTCTCTCTACGGATGAGTCTATAAATAAAAAAAAAAAAAAAAAAAAAACAAAGAAAAAAAAAAAAAAAAAAAAAAAAAAAAAAAAAAAAAAAAAAAAAAACAAAAAAAAAAAAAAAAAAAACAAAAAAAAAAAAAAAAAAAAAAAAAAAAAAAAAAAAAAAAAAAAAAAAAAAAAAAAAAAAAAAAAAAAAAAAAAAAAAAAAAAAAAAAAAAAAATAAAAAAAAAAAAAAAAAAAAAAAAAAAAAAAAAAAAAAAAAAAAAAAAAAAAAAACAAAAAAAAAAAAAAAAAAAAAAAAAAAAAAAAAAAAAAAATAAAAAAAAAAAAAAAAAAAAAAAAAAAAAAAATTTACCGCCCCCCCCTCCCCCCCCCCCCCCCCCCCCCCCTCCTTTCTCCCCCCCCCCCCCCCCCCCCCCCCCTTCCCCCCCCCCCCCTCCCCCCCTCCCCTCCCCCCCCCCTCTATAAAGGGATAATAGGCGTTATTTGATATGGAGAGAACCTGGAACCCGTTATCATCCGTCAAACATCCGTGAAAGAGATGCATACGGAAGATGCAGTGTCTGTGTTTGGGGTGGCATCTCTTTGGGTGGACGCACAGACCTCCATGTTTTTTCAAGGAGAACCGTGAATGCTCATGTTTATAGAGGTGACATCCTTGATGCTTATGTGCACCCATATGCCGGGGCAATAGGTGATGCTTTCCTGTTACAGGACGACAATGCAAGACCACGCAGAGCTCGCATCGTATATGATTATCTTCAACAGGAAACAATTATGCGCATGGAGTGGCCAGCTCGATCCCCGGACCTGAATCCTATCGAGCACGTTTGGGATGCTTTAGGGAGACGTCTAGCTGCTCTCAATCCGCCCCCTTAGACCCTTTCCGCGCTTGCAACTGCTTTGCAAGAGCGATAGCTCTCGCTTTCTATGGAACTGATAGACCACATAATTGAAAGCATCACACATCGCTGAATGTGCTGTATTGCTTCTAGAGGCGATTATATTCCATATTGAAGGTACTTTTACTATAGCAAACTGACATCTTCGATTTGTTCATTTTATACATGTGCTAATTTCTATACTACCATAATCGCCTGGTAATTTCTTTTTATGTTATTTGATACCTTACTATGTGTTGTATATTGTGTGTAAGTTTCATAAAATTCTACATATAACTTTTTCAGTAATCGTGATTTTTGAGATTTTTCCTTAATTTATGATAACCAGTGTATGTTTCACTGTTTGATTGCTGAAGCATAGTTAGAAATGAATGAAATTTAACTAAGTAATGGGATTTAATAAGAAATTAAAAATTTCATTCGCGCGTACTCTGCTCCATGCAGGAAACCATGACGTCGACACTTTCATTGCACATTTTATGACGCAATTTATTGCTTTGAACAGAGATGTCGCTGCAAGCGGCTTTATCATTTGATTGAGTTACTTTTAGCTTCGTGAGACCTCTTGTGATTTTGCCACCGTGTGAGGAGGTTGTTTTATTTTAAGGTATACCTACGTACCTTTAAATTCCGTTTCATTTTATATTTCTGAAATGTTTGGTGTATTTTGTGCTTAAAAATACTATCTGTTGTGTATTGTTTTGAGACGTAGGATTTGTGTAATCAGCATAAAATATCTAGTAAGTAATATTTCTTCTTTTTGCTACTGAAAGCCATATTTATAAAAAAACTTTTTATAATAAAATTGTGTAAATATTGGATATTATAATGCATTTTTTTGTACATCCCATAAGCTGATTTATCATATTTTTATTCTCATTGAAACTGATCGCTGTAGTGTGAAATACTGTTCTTTCGTATGTACATTTGCTAAATACGTCATTTACAAGATATAGGATTTTTCAAAAAAATTAAATTTAAATATCAATAATGGCAAAAATAGGTTGTGATTTCGAGTGATTTATCAATCCTATATCAAAATCTCTGCACACTTAATTCTGTTCTGTACAAATTGAACACAGTAACATGGTTTCTCCTTTAGATACATTGAAGCGTTGGCAGTGCGGTTAAAAATGGTATCTTTGATTAAAATTTGTTCCATGTCATCTCTTTGAAACTATTATTAACTACCTTAAATCTCAGATAAACGATGAGAGTAGAAATTGTCAGTTGTTTGAAGGTTGTTGTCCCCCCCCCAATTCTTTGCATCTTGTCTTTTACTAAAGAGTAATTAGTGTGTGCTTAAGTGGTATTAAAAAATAAAAGATAATCATATATATTCCATAAAATTAATTGTATGACTTGTAATTTCTTAGTTGATTATTTCATGCATATTTGTGTATTAATGTAGTGATTTTCATTTGGTATTATTTAAATTAAATTTTCATTTTGTATTATTTTGTACTTAAATTATTATATCTCATAATTTTGAAAAATATATCTGCTGCTATAAAAAATAATCTGTAATTTGATTACCAGAAAACTTGCATATGTTTTTATAGCAGCAGAAAAAATGAGTGACAAATATTTTAATTATCTAATGATTTAACTTATTTAATACTTGAAATATCATGTGTAAAAAGTATGTAAAGTTAGTTATTGAACAAAACAATGCAGTAGTGTCTAAAAATTGGGAATAAAAAGAATATAATATATTGTACATTTTTTCAAATAAGGTGATATTTATATCATCAGATATCGTGAACGTTATAGATTATAAAAGTTAATGAAAAAAATTTGCTATACTTTGAATGTAATATTTTGTTTAACTATTTCACTTTTCCAATATTTTATGAGATACTAAATGTAATCAAAACACTCATGGCAACCTCTGAAACTGCTGTTCATTCAATCTAATATCTGTGAAAATCAGTAGTTAATGTAACTTTTCCTAAGTGACTGCCATCTCAGAAAATTTTACTTGGCAGGTACTTAGTATGTGAAAAGGGGATCAATTCCATATAGGAATGCAAAAAAATTATCTGTGAATGTTAGCCAAATTCATTTCTGTTATAAATGGATATTGGCAATTTGTGATATTATTTAGTTTTAGTCTTTTGGATCTTATTTGTATAGGGTAAAGCAAAAAATAGCAATAGTTTACTTTTTCTTTTATCCCCTTTTCTTTCTTTTTTTTTTTTTTTTTTCTAATTGTATATTGCCAAATTTGATTAATCTGCACGCCCACTGAAAAGTCGTCCACCTGTTTCTAACTTTGGGTATCTTTAGATATATTTAAAGGATGTATCCAGTATAATGAATTTTTTATATTCCTTTCCCCCTCCCTTACAAGGCATGCACACTTCGCTCTCTTCATACACACAACCATCAGTTTTCCCTCGGAAAAGACCACCAACGGCCAAGGGGCAAAATCACCGAACACTGGTAGTTTGGTCCAGAATTTGAATCCCGGCGAACATGCTGGGTGCATAGGCAGTTTTCCTGTGTGTAATGTGTATAGTTTGGTCCAGAATTTGAATCCCGGCGAACGTGCTGGGTGCATGGGCAGTTTTCCTGTGTGTAATGTGTATACGAGCCAGTTTGCATTAGAAAATCTTCCACGAAGGCATCCCTCATTTTAAGTAGATAGCCTTAGTTAAATAAACCAAACCATCTGTTTAAAAAATTGGAGAATTGTACAGGTTTGGCAGAGAAATCTTAAAAAGAGGTACTTGATGCCTGTAACTATCTGAGCGGCGCAGGATTTTAGATCGTAATGAAGACCGGTATTTAAACAGCATTATTTAATTGAGTTTGTATAATTACTTATTTTGATTTGTATTTTAATATACTTACATTCATGAAGATGATATTTACGTTATTAAAGAAACTAAGAAAACAAAATATCTTAAATTATAAGCTAATATATGCCAAGTTGCAAAACTTCTTATTGCCAGTTAAAGCCAGTCATAATGCTCAAAAGTGACATAAAGCCACAAGGGCGAAATTTAGCCACATAGGGCATTGCTTCGTTGATACAGAGTCGTGCTTTTCAGTGGGGATGCGGATAGTCAGAAAGTACTCTATTTTTTACTCATGTCATTTATTATACGAGTCGCTGTGTTATATACTGTATATTTCCATACGTAAGGCAAGAATTTTTTGAACTTTTTCAATAGCTAAATGATGATGTTGTCTTATATACAGATACACAAATACCTAAAAAAAAAATCGGGGAAAGTGCAGAATCACCCACTGCTTCGCGCATTTCTCAAAATCGCCAACTTGAAAATAACAAGTCGAAGAATTGCACAAACTCAGTATCCATATACACATCGATCTATTTTCACTTAAAAAAAATCGGAAAATTGCACAAACTTGGCACTGTACACTCCCTTGACTTTGTTCATGTACACATCAATATGCGCCATATGAGTGGGCGATTCTGCATCAGCTTGGAAATAATAAGTCAAAGAGTTGCAGAAACTTGGTATGCACGTACACATTGACCTATTTTTCACTTAAAAAAAATTGGAGAATTGCACAAATTTGGCATTGCGCACTTTTACTTTGTCCATGTCTACGTCAATACGTGCCATATAAGTGGGTGATTCTGCACTTACCCAAAAAATCTAGGTACTTTTTTTTTTAGCTGGATGCAAGTAATAAAGGGCCTAATATAGCAAAATCTCTTAAGTGTATGAAAAATATTAATTTTAAATGAATCTTTGTTTTATGAAAATGAGTTTTTTTGTTTCTGAAATTGTTTATATTATTGGTTTATTACAACTTCACCAAAATGAAAATAAGACTAGCACACAGGATTGTATACACTACAATAAATAAATGATATACAGTACAACAAATGAATTCAAAATATGTCCTAACTTCAGATAGGATTACCAGAGTTAAAACCATCATCATAGACATCTGGTGTTTTACTTTAGAATTCATTAGAAAATATTTCACCCATTTTACCTTTTTGACATTTCTTCCCTCATAGTGACATTGTTTAATGCTACAGAATTTTTAATTTCAGCTTATATACATGTTTTGAATTTTGGGTAAATTTTGAAGAAAAAATGCTGTCTCGCCTTATATTTGTAAATATATGGTACTTCAGCTGTATCTTTCACCCTCAATTATCAAGTTATGTATTATTTGATCTTCATAGAGTAAATTTCCACAGAAGTGTTAACACTATCCAGATGTTTCTATCTGGATTATGGGTAAAAGTATATTTTAGGGTACCCCTTGGCAAAACTTGGTGATTTTGGGCGGTACATGGATATGAAGTTTGTGCAATTCTTTGACTTATTAATTTGGCTTGCATAAAGGTACCATAATTTCATGTAGGTAATTACCCCAAGGTATATGGGCTAATCTTTGGAATATGGTAATAGGTAGTTTGGCGACATTTTGGTAAGGCGATAAAGATTACTAGCTAGGTCTTTAGCAGTGTACATGGATAAAGTCAAGAGTGTGCGCAATGCCATTTTTGTGCAATTCTGAGATGTTTTTTTAAGTGAAAATAGGTCGATGTGTACATGGATGATACCGTGTATGTGCAATTCTTAAAGATTCTGTAAGCAGGGAGCGATTCTGCACTTTGTCCCAATTTCACACCTAATCTTCATCATGATTAAGCACTTTTGTTCCACAAAAGTTCTAGCATAAGCGTAATAGTTTGTGCAATTCTTTGACTTATTAATTTGGCTTGCATAAAGGTACCATAATTTCATGTAGGTAATTACCCCAAGGTATATGGACTAATCTTTGGAATATGGTAACAGGAAGTTTGGCGACATTTTGGTAAGGCGATAAAGGTATTAACTAGCTAGGTCTTTAGCAGTGTACATGGATAAAGTCAAGAGTGTGCGCAATGCCATTTTTGTGCAATTCTGAGATGTTTTTTTAAGTGAAAATAGGTCGACGTGTACATGGATGATACCGTGTATGTGCAATTCTTAAAGACTCTGTAAGCAGGGAGCGATTCTGCACTTTGTCCCAATTTCACACCTAATCTTCATCATGATTAAGCACTTTTGTTCCACAAAAGTTCTAGCATAAGCGTAATTCGACTAGCAGATTGTTGGAAAAAAATGTTGAGTAAAAAAAAAAAAATGTCTTTACTTACATATAAATAAATAAAAAATCAACAAACATCTTACCTTGAACTTGGCAAAAAATTAACTCTGCTGATTTCCAATAGACTATATTTTTACGGATTAGGTAAGCTTTACCATATCATGAAAAAAAAAAAAAAAAAATGCATAAATTATATAATCAAACAGCATTTTATAATTAAAATAAACAACATTTATTTATACAAATCCTTCAAAATCAGACTCCTTAACATCGGAATTAAACTTAACAAATCACCATCAAGGTCACCCGTCACTATCATCATTTCCATTTCCTTTTTCCATGATTTCTGATTTAATGAAATCTGATACGATATCCACTGAGACTGATTGTCATGCTTTATCGATCCACAGGGCAACCTCCTCATATGGAGTTTTTCTCATCCATTCGGAATTCGTGAAGGAATGAAGTCCACTTTGCAGTTGACAGCACTGTCCTCCCACAGCTTTCATAGTTTGTGCTTGAAATCTCTATTGATGGTTGAGATCTAGTGGCTGTAAAATTTTTGTAAGACCACTTGGTATTACTGAGATATCTGTGTTAAGTTACTCCCCCCCTACACATTCACATCAGATTTTACAGTATCAAATAAATGTGATCACATTGAATTCAAAATGATGAGTGCCCAAGGTTGGAAAAAAGCACCCTTCCTTTTTTTGATGAATTGCTCTCAGCCAAAACAACATTACTTCTTACTTTTTTTGGCACAAATAATGACCCCTTTAGACAAGTTTCCTGTCAAAACTATTTTTCTTTTAAAAATATCAAAGGGGGTTAACTTTTCTTCATTGGCAGCACAACCGAAAACACAAGAAGTAGTTTCATCCGAGGTTGTTAATGCAGAAATAATTTTTTTTCACCTGTTGAATGAACACTTCTGCTTGCAGGTCAATCAAAAGTAAAAGACATTTCATCAATATTAATTCTTTGCCTTCTATTCAAATTTTGTTCTGTAATTTTTGTAAAAAAGCTATCTTTTTATCAAGCTAGTCTACGAGAAGCTTCTGTCCAACTTGTTTTTCTCCTGATGAATAATTTCTTTTGTTTCGTAAATCTGAAACGCCAATTAGATCCACCATCAGCATTTTTAATGCCCATTTTTTTAGCAGTTACTTAAAGGTGAATTCTAACTGTTGACATTTATAATCCCTTTTCCTTCTGCTCTGTTGTTCATTTTTCTAAATTGTCTTCCAAAGTAGGCCAGGCGATGATGCTAATTCAACAAGATGTTTTATTCTTAAGTATTTTTTCTAATTCTTCTTTTTCATATTTCCACTACCAAATGCATCTCTTGTCAACTTGAAATTCTCTAGCTGCAGTGTGATATCCCATTTCTATTGATTTCTTCACTGCCACAAAAGCTTAAAAGCAGCTGTATAACTTTTCTGTTAGATAGGAGCCCAATGAATAATTATAATAATAATTTTTAAAATTCAGTTTTTAAAATTCAGCAATCACAAACGATAAATTAAGCACTGCAACAAATAAGCATTAAGAAAGCCGTGAAGTAATGAGACATGTAAGAACTTGGTGAAGTAAAAGTTTCTGCGGATGTTTCTGTGAAAAAAAGTTGGCCATCAGAAAATGGAGACAAAACCCCAGAGTTTCACAGAAAGTACATGTCTTCGAATTTCTTTACACCACCTACCGTACTTAGTCAAGTTTCATGGAAGTTCGAATATGCTGCTCTGCCTTAGGGCAACCTGAGCACTTGTATCAGGCTAAAATGTCGCAGTAAATTCGGTATTAACTGTTTCATTTATGCATAACTTACAATGCAAACTAGAAGTTTTAAAAATAGAGGGAAAATAAAATTCCTTCAGATACGTCATCCTGGTAGATATGCCACAGACCTAAATTTTCCACTTTTAAACATATGTAAGTTGTGGCTTATCTACCGGAAATCCGCCTTCAATGCAGTCTGTGCAGACTTAAACACCTCCTTCAGTGCTGTCAACTGTTCTTGTATCATATTATCCTTATCAGATATATCGTATTTCAGCAGTTTTCTGAGCCATGCTGGGACATTCAAATTTTGAAGGTTGTGGAAGCATTATTAGAAACTTTGCATGCACTACACATTTTCCTTTTCTAACATAATGCAGTGATAGCTTATAAATGTCAGAATGCCTGTTACTACTGTTAACAACCACACGTTAGAACTGTGAATTTTCAAGTGTTGTGTATGTGTGTGTGTTTTTTTAAATACTTTAGGTGTTTTAGGAAAATTAAAGAAAAAAGTCGAGCAACAAAGAAAATTGTTAGGATCACTGTGGAGGTGAAAAAGAGTTCAAAGATGAATTTATGGAAAGTGTACGAATGCATATATATCCAAGAATTGGCTAATGCGTACCATATGATGATGTCTACGATTGTGAAATTTAAATACATTAATTAGATCAGGTAACATTGTGAAACAGGGTGAAATGGATTACCAAACAAATAGCAGAGGTATCGAAGCATGTTGAAAAATTGCTTTTTATCTGATAAACAGAAAAATATCATTGTGCAGTTGTTCATTTATGTACAGTGCATATTTTACCAATGTATTTGTATTTTAGTATTAAACAGTATCATAATAATAACAATAGGATTTTTGTACATAAAAGGAAATATTATTTTCTCTTTATTTTTTGTTAGAAAATTCGTTTGGTATATGTCCAGAGTTCTAAAATGATTAATGACATACAGTGGGAATCTGACAAAGTGGGCAAAATTTAATGGGGTGGTAGAACACAGCTATAGGAGCAATATTTGTCATAAAATATATAGTCAGAACGCAGGCTGCGAGAAGTTAAAAGTTAGTTTTCCACTATCACATTTAAAGAATTAACATGAGAATGAGAATAGATACTAAACATTTTATCAACAGGAATGTAATTGATGTACATGCTCAAAAGATCTTCCACCAGCTGTAACGCAGGTTTCACACCTGCAGGATAGGGACTGACACACAATTTTGAAAACACCAGAACATTTCCTGAGTATTGCCGGCAACAACGGCGATCCTGGCAACTAGATCCATATTGGTTTCAACAGGGCAATCATAGATTAGGCTTTTCGTATGGTCCCACAGGAAAAAGTCCAAATACGAGAGATCTGGTGATTTTGGTGGCCAAGCTATGGTACCACCTCAATCAATCCATCGCCCTGGAAATGTCATTGTTCATATAACCAGCCAATCCTCTCTTCAATCATGATAGAAAATGTCGTTTGGTGCAAGGACCAACCCTTTTTACACCATTTACAATGCCAGCTAGCAGCTCACCATTTACATTTCACCCAAGCTTTCTATGATGAATATTGTATGTATAGCTGCTTTTTATCACCCCTTAAAGTGTAGCTCACCTTTTCAGATTCACCCTGTATACTGAGATACCACTGCATATCTTCTTAAAACAATACACTTGTTTTCAATGACAGACAATCACATAAAGTTATAAAAGTAATGGAATTCATTCTAGTTTCAGTCAGGTTGAAGTCTCTTGCTTGAAGTTTGTTTTGTGTGCTCTTTGTTTCCTTCCAGCTCATTGAATAATGAATATATATCAGCCAAATAGTGTATATGTTTTGTTAAGTTTTAATAATTTGTGTTGCCATATAAGGTTTTTCAATTATGGAGTTGTGTTTTGTTGTGTTTCTGTGTTTTACTTTTTATGTTGCTTTTATTTTATATATTTTAAAAAGAATGTTACTTTTTTAAAATATGTTAATTAATTGTAGGGTATTTTCGCATAGTAGTTATTTTATGATTTCTTCCTTACTGTGTGATTTTTTTTTTTTTTTTTCCAATCAATGGGATCTTGATTATGCCTCTCAGTTACTGATTCATATTTTGCTGTTGACCCTTTTAAAATTTCATCCACCCTGTTAGTAGATTAATGTGGGTCCTTTTAAGTGAGCTTGTTTAATCAATCTTCTCTGAACTTTACAAGTGATCTGAAACATAAGTAGTCTCCATCATCAGATTTCCCTTCCTTGAAGTGCGAAAATCATTTCTGAGCAGTTCTTTCAGTAATAATATCCTCTCCATATACAGCATGATTTGTATAAGCAGTTTTGGTACCTTGACTGGAAATAGGTATCAGAAATGTTTATTATTGTTTACTTAATACACCATCACCATATGTCTGATTTGAAATTCTAAATCAGGTTTCAAAAATGCTGAAAAAAGTTTTAGAAAAAAGAGTAAAACTACCAAAAAGAAAATATCACTACAGAGAGGATTTTTTGGGGAAGGGTTGTTAATAGAGATTCTGGTAAAAAAGTTTAAAGAATTTATGCAATATTCTAATAAGTTAATCATATAGAAATGCATGGCAAATAATATGTAATATTTCCTTGAAACATGTTGAAAAGTATGGATTAAGACTTGTGAAGTTCTGTTTATGTGTTATGCCATAAGAATGAATATATGTGCTTATGCCATAAGAATGAATATATGTGCTTATGCCATTAATAATATACATAACATTCTGTTGGAAACCATTTGATTTCTGAATTTATGAGGATTTAACTTCTTGCTTTAATGATTGTGGAATTGATGTAAATGTTATCCTTTTCCTGTCTGAAATCCCTTCACTATTGTATGTATAAGGATTTAACTTCCTGCTGTAATAATTGTAGAATTAATGTTAAATTTTATCTTTTATAGCTTAAAATGACTGTTCAACCTGAAACCACAGAAATGCCAGCAACATCGGAAAGTATTGTGGCTGAACAGATGTTTGGAATAGTAGATGTCATCATTCTTAGTGCATTATTTGCACTTGCAGTATATTGGATATTTCTCAGGAAGAAGGAGAAAGCTGATCCAATAAAATCGTTTTCAATTGAGTATGTATATCACATTTATTAAGTTATGCTCTAGTTTATTTTGTTTTTCCTATTAATTATAAAGGATATGAAATCATTTAATAGTAATTTTGCTACAGGTTTAGTATTTGAAAGAGTGAATTATTGCAGAGAATAAGATTTTTCTAAGTTTAATTATATGAACTATACTTTAGATAAAGCTAATTTGAAAACATGGAGACAGATTTACCTGTCTTTGTCAAAAGATATATTTAAAAAAACAATTTGTCAGGAAAGCTTCATCTGCTAAAATTATTTTAAAGAATTATTAAACTTTTAAAATTAATGGATAAACTGATCATAAATTTTGTATTTATATAATTTTAAGTATTTAATTTATTAACTTTTTATCTATTAAAACAAGTTTTAGTGGACTCTGTTAGCAGCTAATTTATTGTAAGAACTGAACAGAATCTTTCAGTGCAAATTTCAGTTTAATTAATTAATTTAAAATTAAATCTTTGGAGCTGAATTACCAGAAAATTCCTATTGATAAACTTCTCTGTTCATCACTTGAATTTTAAGTCTTGATGCCTCTGTTATTGAGTTTTAAAAACTAATGCTCATTTATCATAGCAGTGTGTGTTGTGGATGCATGCTATTGTTCTTAGTTGTTAAGTGTTGGCTGATTGGTTTATATGCTGTGCTTGAAACTCTACAACTTTAAGGAAAATTTGTTATTTCTTTGTTAGCGGCCCCCACATATATTTGGGGATTTTTGATTTGCTCCAAGAATTCTAACATGAAAAGCAAGTAATACTAAATGCATTTTAATGTCAAGAAACAGTTTAACAATTAGATCGCATGACTATTTCAGCCTGGTCCTGAATTATAGTGAAACTCTGAAGATCACCTTCATAAGACATCAACCTCTGAAATAATATTAAACCAGTATTTCTGAGATCAAAATTTAATAACAATATTGAGCATTTGGTATATGTGTTCTATGAAATGTGGAAAAAGATTATTAGAGTTATCTGGTATTGCAGATAGTCATTTTGTGAAGTTTAAATTCTGTGTCTTTGTAAAAAATATTTGACTGTTATTTTTTGTAATGATTCAAAAATTATTACCATTACATAGTTTGCATTATGTATTAAGGCAAAATATTCAAAATTTTTGTATGAACATATAAATGATGATAAACTCTGGAAGAAGTGTTAGATCATATTTTTTTTTTTTTTGATAAAATTTCCTTCATTTTGATCTCTGTGTTCTTTGAAATATGTTGCTTTTTCACTACTATGAGCATCATAGTTATTTTTTTTTAATTTTATTTATTATTTTCTCTGTTTTATTTCTTACATATGTAATAAAATTTGGGTATTGTTCCATTATTAGGACCAGGTTCAGAAATGTAAATACATATGCATATATGTGTTCATGAATGCATGTAATATATGCAAGTACAAATGTTTGTGTGTGCATATATGCATATATGCACATGCATACAAAAAACACACATTCTGAATCCAGTCCCGATAAAAGAACAGTATCAAAATCTGATGTGACGGCAAGAAAGGAATGCAGTAGAATTCCAGAAATTCGCAAAGCTTGAGACCAAAGGTTGTGCGGATTTTAGGATTTTGCAGATTTCAGGACAGAAAAGATAAATCATAATATTCAGACTAAAAAAGCAAAATAAATAAGGCATATTAAATACATTTAATTAAATTATTATACACTATTACAATAATTTATTATGTACATTAATTATTACATATATAAATTGTTTATATTATATTAGTATTTATTTACATTAGTGCTTACAGGGATATTTAAAAGCATTAGGGATGTATTCAATACACATAAAAATAAGGGATATTAATATGAAATATTTCATTTTTTTCTATGTGTTTCAAACATTTTTCTGATGGAGGTTTATTTCAAAACTTTAGGGTGCTCCAGAGTAATTTTTTTTTTTTTTTTTTTTTTTTTTTTTTGTAAATTATATAGGGTCATAATCTCTTGCTCTGTGATACAGCTTTGTTGTTCTAAAAATTTTGGGTATTTTTCATCAAGTTCCAGATCCTCATTAAAAGATATTTTCTCACTTCTATCAAATTCACTATCTGTGTCGGTGTCAGAATTGTCTTCTTGCTGTGGCGAGTTCAAAACAGAGCCAATGATTTCATCATCAGTCATCTGATAAGCCAGCGTTTGGCTCATCTGAACACATCATCCATTCAACAATATCTTCTTCCTGCAAAGCCTCCTCATTTATTTTTTCTTTTGAAAATAAAAGCAATTCTCTTGCTTTAATCCTTGCTGCACTGACCCTAACCAGAAAAATCACTTTCGCCACTCTCAGTTTCAATAAACAGAGAAGATGGCCATACATTATGCCAGGCATTTACTAATGTTGTTTGGGAAACAGAATTCCATGATTCAGCTAACAAATAAATGTAGTCTTTGATGGTGAACTTTTTTTATAATCACAGAGTGGAATAGAATGGTCACTTGAATTTTTTTTCAGAAACTGATTTATAGTGGCATTGAATACTGTGTATTATGCCCTGGTCCATTTGGTTGGATCAATGATGTAGTATTTGGGGGCAAAAGAAAGGGCCATGACAAATTAAAAGGGCCATTAAAATAGTTGCATCTTTATGTGCAGAGCAGTTGTCTAACAATAGTAAAATCTTGCAATTTGATGGTAACCCCACACTGTTACAATGCCTTCTAGCCTCTTTAATGAAATGCTTCATGAACCATTCAGTCATAAGTTGTTTTGTAAACCAGGAATTTTTATTATTCTTTATTTAAAGGGCCATTAAAATAGTTTCATCTGGATGTGCAGAGCAGTTGTGTAACAATAGTAAAATCTTGCAATTTGATGGTAACCCCACACTGTTACTTTGCCTTCTAGCCTCTTTAATGAAATGCTTCATGAACCATTCAGTCATAAGTTGTTTTGTGAACCAGGAATTTTTATTACTCCTGTAAATCACAGGTAAGCATTTTACTCCTTTCAGAGCTCTGGGATTGGTACTCTTACCCACTACCACTGCTTTACATTTGTAAGTTCCAGCTGCATTGCTGCATACTAAAATGGTAATGCTTTCTTTAGCAAATTTCACCTCTGATGGTGCACTTCCTTCACTTGTCACAAATGTCTTTCCTAGCAAACATCGCCAAAAAATCCCAGTCTCGTCCATTAAAAACCTGTTCTGGGCTAAGATTTTCTTCTGCCACTAACACAGAAAATTCATCAATAACCTCCTCTGCAGTATCTTTCATCAGCATCTGCTGAAAGTTTTTCCCCACATGCTTTCAGATAACGTATATCATGTCTCTGTTTAAGCCGTGCAATTTCAGCAGCGGTTGGCTCAATATAACCGCTGCCAAAATTGTTCGGCTCCTCTGTTTATAAATTGGCATGAATCTGCTTCACCTTTTCTCTCAGAAATGGTCCTGAAATTGCTACCCCATCACTCCGCCGCTGCCGGAACCAGTCGTACAAGACAGCATCAAGGTTTACCGATTTCACCTCATGCAAAGATTTCTGGTTTTGGATTCCCGTGTTAGAATCACTGTTGCTGTAAAATTTAAACAGTGTTTTTTTTTTTTTTATTTTTCTGTATACCATACACAGTCCGTGTCGCTATACGATTGTGCTATAAAGCGAGGAGTAGCACCTGCCTCCATCTTTTGCAGAATTTGCACTTTTTGCATTACTGTCAATGCAACGTGTTTACGTTTTTCAACGTTGCAAACAGTAAAATCATGATTGTGTTTCTTATCATTGTATTAAAATGCACTGAAATTTAAAATATTCTTAATTTATCCACAAAATATCTATATAAAAAAAAAACGGCAGCACTAGACAATCTCGTGAAATAACAAAGTTCAGAAAATACAGCAACGGGAATCGTGAACTTGAAAGAAGAGTTGAGTGAATCGTCTGCTTTTTTACCTCGACACAGATTGCAGGGAAAGACACTTTTATCATGATGTCGATAACTTGCTATTTCCATTATGACTCATTATTATTCGGTAGTTATGATGTTATTATTCGATAAATGTTTTTGCTTTGATATTTCGTACTCCATGTTGTAGTTTCGGAACCTATAAACTCAATGTTTACATTTTGAGAGGCAACACGAATTTCAGGAGTTGGCGGATTTCAGGTCGGCAGATTTTTTTTCAGTATTTGACTGTATTATGTTCCCCAAGAACTTTTTATTGCCTTATTAAGACTTATTTCTATGTCAGGTCAGAATCATGTCAAAATTTGATAATATCAAAATTTTTTGCAAAATGAAGTTGCAAATGTATTATGATAACATATTTTAAGGACAGCATGAAATGATAATTTCACTCAAAGGGGTTGAATTATTTCTTAACATAAAAATTTATCCTTATTAGGCTTGCTTTATTATAATTCAGAAATGTAAGCAAACAAGCTTGTTCCTTAACAAAGAAGAAAGAAGATAACAATTTTGGTTTTCTGTAAATGAAAGAAACTCGTGTGAAAATCAATGCTGCAGTTTATTGTTATTGTTGAATAATACTGGATATTTGGTGGGTTATGCTAAGAAGCTGGTGAATTCTTTCTTCTTGAGGTTTGAAACAGAGAGGCAACCATACATTTGGTAAAAATTGTGTACAAGAAGGATTGATGATATGTTCAAAGGGTTGGTAAATATACAGTGACTCCCAAAAGTGTTCGTACACTTATGATTTTCATTGAAATAGGGCTCTATCCATTAATTAAAAGTAAACTTTCTGAATGAGATTTTAATAATAAGATCTATAATCTATTCATAACCAAATTACGTGAAATATTTTTAAGATATAGCGAAACTTTATTTTTAAGAAATTAATAATCAAAAAATGACAAACATTTTATCTCACAAAAGTCTTCATACACTTCAAAAAAATCTTGACATATTAGTAAATATTTTAATTTTTCGTTAAATTAATATTTAGTAGGATATGCTTTAGCATTCACAACAGCTTTTGAACATCTGGGAATAGAGTTTACTAGTTTTTTTGTAATTTCTGTATCAATGTTCATCCATTCTTCCATCATGACTGTTTTGAGTTCGCTTTTCGTTTTGATGTCGTGTTTTCGTACTCTAACCTCCATTTCTTTTCAAATGTGCTCTATGGGTTTTAAATATGGCGACTGAGATGGTGTTTTCAAAACCTGTGGACAGTTATACAGACACCACAGGCGAATGTTGAGAGCCGAATGCTTAGGATCGTTATCATGATTAAAAATAAAGTTGTTTCCAATACCCAAATTTTGGGCTGATAATTTTAAATTGTCTCTTAAAATATTTAAATAAAGAGAATGATTAATTATGCCATTAATAAATGCCAAATTACCTAGTCCTGATGCTGCCATGCACCCCCACACAAGAACACCTCCACTGCCATGCTTAACTGTGCCAACTCAGTTTTTAGAATGAAGTTCCACATTTTTGCTTCTCCATACAGTTATTCAACGATCGGAACCAAAAATGTTAAATTTGCTTTCGTCAGCAAATAAAACATTATTCAGGTATGTTTCGGGTGTATTTATCATTAATTTTGTGAATGAAAGCGTAAGCTTTCTGTTTTTTTCATTAACAAAAAAATTTTTACCCGCAGAACGCCCATGTAATCCAGCTTCTCTGAGAACTCGTTGAACAGTTTCAGGTGAAATTGAAGTAGAAAACTTTGCATTAAATTCTGCAGAAACTTTTACAGCACTCAAACGTGGTCACAAATTTTTTATTTCAAAATTTTCTAATAATAAATCTCTCATCACGTTTAGTTAACTTTCTCAGTCGACCTTTTCTTACCTTGTTTTCAATCCGATTTTCTTCTTTAAAGCATTTTATCACATACTGCACTGTAGAATGGGATAAATTAACTAATTTAGCGATATTTTGAATTGAGTTACCACTACTATGGTGAAAAATTATCAATTTTTGAATGCTGTTTGTAATTTCTTTACGACTGCGACCCATTTTTCTTTAATAAATAGAATATTATGATGTAAACAATAAAAAATTAAAGCAAACAATTTTTTAAATGCCACCACAATGCAAAAATTGAAAAAAGCGGCAAGCAATAATTCTAATTTTGATTTTATCCAAAAATATTTTAGTGTACGAAGACTTTTGTGAGATAAAATGTTTGTCATTTTTTGATTATTAATTTCTTAAAAATAAAGTTTCGCTATATTTTAAAAATATTTCATGTAGTTTTCTTACGAATAGATTAGAGATCTTATTATTAAAATCTCATTCAGAAAGTTTACTTTTAATTCATCGATAGAGCCCTATTTCAATGAAAATCATAAGTTTACGAACACTTTTGGGAGCCACTGTGTAAAACAGGAGGACCTATAAAAAGCAAGTTAAATGCATTGTACTGGGAACCCTAAGTTTCATTTTGTTGATCCAACAACAGCTGCTCATGCACAAACTGTTGAAGAACCACGGCACTTTGTTGAGTGGCACATCATCAAGACACAGTTCACAATCATCCTGACTCTTACGTTGTGGAGTTCATGTAATGAAATTCCACGAGACGAAAAAATGCTTCTCGTGCCGTATCAAGAACAATTGTGGAAACACAGAAGTCACAAAATATATGCAAGAAGCAAACATGAGCATGGCAATTTTAATTATATGTGGCTTATCGACTTTTAGCTGTATACGATTTTATGAGTTTATAGCAGCAACTTCGCATTTAAAAAATGGGGGCTGCAATAATAAGGCTCATAAATAGCACTAGTAAAAGTGCAGTTTATTGGTATATGTGATAAATCTCTGCATCTCCAAAATTATTAAGAAAGTCTTCAATACCTCAAAAGAAGATTCATTACTGCAGTGCATTCTGATGAGCTGGAATGAAAGATGGTGAAAAGTGCCACGGTCATAATGCTTTAACTCCCTCTTTTATTGCTTAAGTCTGTAACTGGTAATAAATTTCATAAAAGGTCAGTCTTAGGAAATAAGGTGATAGATTGTTGCCATGCTTGATTTCCACACCCTGAAATTTGAATTATATGTGGTTTATTGATTTTCATATGATTTTATTAATTTATGGATATTATAGAGATACTGTGATTTTATAGAGATTTTTAGCTGTATATGTTTTAGCTATGAGTGGTTGTATGCTGTTAATCTTTAGGACCAAATGGGTAGGCTTTGAGGACCTTTTGTGGTCTACAGATTTAGAAATGTTTTTGTAAGAAATGCAGGTCACTATGAAAGTTTTCTCTGAATATATGAGAGAAGTACTATATCTCTGTTTCATAAGTGAAATTTTTATGCTTTAATAGTTCATGCATTTTTGCTGTAAAAAAAATTTTAAAAAAAGATTGCTTGAAAGTTTGATATTTTTATTCAAGTATGTATCATTAAATTTAAAAGTTCAGCAGTTACCAGGAGAATACCAAGATCACATAAATTTCTTTGATGATGCAAAAGTACCACATTTTTTTTTTCTCCCTTCCCCTGTAAGGAATTTCTGAAAGCAAATAATGGCCAAGCTATCATTTTGTATCACTACTGAGAAAATGGAAAAACTTGGATTATTAATTTTTATTTCTTTAGAGATAACATTTTGATTTTTGTGATAATTGACTGCTTTTAAATTTGCTGTTATTTTTTCAGTCATTGCAGTCATTTAAATTTGCTATTTAATTATGACTGCTTTTAAATTTGCTATTATTTTTTTCATGTTTATTAATTAGTGTATTCTGTTTTTCTTTTGTGATAGACCCAATACATTTGCTGCATCAGATTCAAGTTTTATAAACAAAATGAAAGCTACTGTAAGTTTCATTTCTCTATATGATATGAGTTTGGTTAGGAGTTATAATTTAATTCACATGATTTTTCTGCATAAATTGTTTTATGTGAACAGCTTATAATTAAAATAAGAGTTTTAAATTCTGAAAGAAGGCTCTTGGAAAATCTCCATTAGCAGCACTCAGTTATTTATGTATTTATTTAGAGAGAGAGAATAGAATATAAATATACTTAAAGTGACAAACTTAGCTAACATGAAGAAGTAAAAATCATGAAACATAACCTGGAGATCAATCTAGAATCATAATTCATATTGAAACATAAACCAAGCAATTAAATAACAAAACGTGATAATTCTTTGTTCTTTGTGTAAGCAGCATCCATTAGAATTATCAACAGAAGCATGCTTCTGAATTATCTCTCAATTAATTTCAAGAAAAAGAATTGTAAGCACACAGGTAAATTGAAATTAATTTTTTTAATTAAAAGAAATTATAAAATTGAAAATTACAGAATTTTTTAAAAAAACATCATCAAGATCTAAACTACTTCGACAAGACTTGGAAAACGTGTTTTACGGTTAAATACAATTTGTAAATAAATCATAATTACAGTCAAAATTCGTTAATCTGGACTCGTCGGGACTTCAGCGATTCCGGATTATCGATTTTTCCGGATTATAGATCATCAATTTAAATCTGGTAAGATAACATGCAGAAATTATAAAATTAAAAATATGAAACCGTAATTTATGAAATAAAGAACAATTATGATCTAAAGGGTATCAAAATTTACAAAAAAAAAAAAAAAAAAAAAAAAAGCTTAATATTTGTTTACTTTATTAAACATTTCTTTCAATGTAAGTTGTTTAAGTTGCTTCGTTTTTTATGTGATAATACATTCTCTTTAATTCTATAAACAGACATAATATCTTGTTCAGTTACAAAGTTCCGCTGTTCAAGTCCTATAATTGCTGTGTGGAGAATCCCGACTAATTTGTCAATCGAAATTTTTTCGTTTTCAATAACCTCTGTCACTTTCTTCGCTATCGGAAGCGAATTATAATGACAAGGAATTTGATTTAAATCATATCAAAGATGGAGTACATCGAGATGAAATACTACATTTAGTAAGGAATTATAAGCCAAATAAAATAAAAACATCTGCCCTGAAGATAAGGATAGTGCTGACAGATCAACTTCCAATTCATTGCGTGCCCCAACGTTAAAGATAAAACAAAGTTTAGATAAACAAACGTTAAAGTTTATATAAACAAAAGATATGCCTTTATCCATTTTTTGCAGCAATTCCACTGTTTGTTTAATGCACTTCGAAACATACTTTCGCTTTTTAGATCTTTTACATATTAGTAAATATATATCAGAAATTCTATTTGACATAATCGAAAGTTCAAGCTTACTTTTATAAAATTGCTCCAACAGTCTGCAAAAAATAATAAGCCAAATCCAATTTGAAGATTAATTAACAACGTAATTTGCAACATTAACTGAATTAGATAATTTTAGCTTAGCTATACCATCCATTACACATTAAACGCACATTCGTAAACGTATTTTGCACATGCGCACATGCATATTCGCAGCCGTAAAGGTCAATGCGACGCATGCGCAGAAAGTTTATAGCTTTGAAGTCCGGATTATAGATCATTCTGGATTATTGGTGTCCGAATTAACGACTTTTGACTGTATTTGTAAAATGTATTTTTTTTTTTACTAAAAAAAGTTTCACGTTTTAACTTGAATCAAAATAAAGATTTGTTTTAAGAAATTTTTTATTGAATACATTTTTCATTTTTACAGAATACAGACTTTAAATCAAAATTTGAAAGTAACCTTGGAATTTTCTTAGTCTACTCCAACAGGGCACCAAAATGGGACAATAACTTAGTATATGCAGGCAGCTGTTTCCTGGTTGAAATATTCTCAGATAGGGGCCTGAAATGAAAAATTCCTGAACTTAGCTTCTCTTGAGAGTTGAAATTAAATAAAAACATTTTTTTAGGACGTTTCTTGAAAGGCAGATTCTGAGTAGCTGAGAAAATTTCAAATAAATGGTTCATGAAAGTTGTTTGAAGCAAAGTCGAAGATAAGGGGAGTAAGTGGTTTTGAGTCTTTTCATCTGATAATGGGAGTGTGGCTTTGAAAAGTGTTGATGTTGTGATTGTAGGAGAAAATTCAGAGAAAAGAAATTATGTTTAATTAGCAGCAGGAGGAATTTCTTAAAATTAGCATCCAATAGCAAAGGAGCTTTAAGTAAAAGCTTTGGACTATTGCATCTTAGTAAATCTAGGTAACTGTTAATGTTGAGGAAGGAATTAGTATAGAGCAACTTGCAGTTTCTGATCTGATGTACTGCAGATGGTCTGAGTAAAAAATCCTTTGGAAGGATCCCATATTTGAAAACTTTAGGGAAACTGCCAGTGTCATTGATCTTTGCTTACTGAAAGAAGTTGCCATATATGGTTTCTGTATGATCTTTAATGTACTTGATTCTTAGGTCTCTATGTAAGCTTCGTGTGTTCCTGATAATGATTCATAGAAATTTGTTCTGGATAGCTTGGTTATTGTTAACTTTTGCTGTAGCCCAGACTTTGGAGAGCCATATGGGATAATTTGGTCTGATGATAGAAATGTAGATGCTTCTCTTCTTGTTTGAGAAAGTTCTGAAATTTTCAAGAGCAATGGATGAAGCTTTGTCATGAGGCTCATGATTTTCTCTCTTAATCGGTTCAGGTGTGTAGGCCATGTGAAGAATCTATTGATAGTGATTCTAAAATACTTTTGAACTTGTGCATAAGCAGTATCTGTGCTTTGTCGAGATTTATGTGAATCTTCCAAGTCTTGCACCGTTATTTAACGGCCGGAGTTTTGCTTTGGAGTCTGTTGATGGTATATTCAAGTTTTCTATATTTGACCCATACCAAGTTAATAAAGCATTATGATCCTGAGTAACCATAGGAAAGTCATTCACATCAATTATGTACAAAATTGGACCTAAAATACAGCCCCGTGCCACTTGTATCCTGATATGATATATGTTGGAGATGTTATTACTACATTTTACAGCATAAATTCTGTTTGTGAGAAAAGAGGAGATCATTATCATTTCCTTGAGGAGTTTGTCCCAGTAAGTGTGTAGAATAGTCTCTCATACCAAATGCAGTCAAATAAAATGTTATGACCACATTGAACGTGAAGATAGCAGCAATTATTTCATTGTGCATAGCAGCGAAGACAAATTTGCAAATGCTTACAAGCTGTTTTGTAGTCACTAGATCCTTTCCGAAGCCATATTGAACATCAGCCAGGATTTGAAGACTTCCTTTCATTCTGCATAAATAAGTCACTTCAGAATCTTTCGTAGCAAGGAGAAGAGACTTAAGGCCTGTAACTTGTAACCAACGTGGTGCAATAAGCCTCTTCCTTTTATCTTAGAAGTTTTTTACCCTCCATGTTCATATCTTACCAAAGTAAAATTATATTTGACAATTACCAAGTTACTTTTATGCATTTTGTTTTTGCATTTTACTGTGTTTTCAGCATTTGAGATTCTGTATCAGTACTTAGCACTCAATACAATTATTTATTATTTGCCTCTTTTTTTTTTTTTTTTTTTTTTTTTTTTTTTTTTTACATTTACATTAGCCATTAACTTACCTTTTGGGGTGGACCAGATATGTTATCATTTTAAAATAAAAGCATTTCGCTACCAATTGTTTTTTATTAAATTATCATCATGTTTTATTTGTAAAGAAATAATATAGGGAATATGAAAAGTTATGGAAGCACAAATAGAAGGATATTATTGACACCAAATATGATCATCATGTGTTATTTTTAAGGAATGACATAGTAAAGAAAGAATAAAAAGGAGAAATAATAAAAAAAAAAAGTGTATGGCAACATATAACACTCTTTCGAAGATTCTGAAGATATGATCTTTTAAAAATATTTTGGTGCTATATTAAAATCTGAATATTTTCAAGCCCCTCCCCTTATTTTATCAAAGCTTTGGCATTTTCGTATTTTCATGAAGCTTTGGTTTTTACTTTACAAATCTGTATTCCATAAAAAATTTCCTTAAAAGAAATCTTCACTGTTTGAAATTGAGACTGACTGTTTCCAAGTGTTTACTCATCTTACCTGTATGTTTATAAAAATTAATTCATTATAAAATGTAAAATTCATGTTTTTATGAGTTGTGCCAGGGCAGGTTATATTTCAATGAATGCTTTCTTTTTAAAAAAAATTATAATATTTTTCATTTAAAAAAATTAATTTAATTTTTGTGTTCATGTAATTTATATTCTGTTTCAAGACTGATTTCCACATTTCTGATATGTTTTTTGATTTTTGCATTCTGCATGTCAGGAATACCTTACCGCTTTTAGTACATTTACATTTTATTTTATTCTTGGTTTTGCAGAACATTAGTAGTTTTCTGCAGTGGTTGAAATATAGTAATAAAAAGAGCACATTAATTTTTATATTTGGATGGAAATACTGTCTTTCTTGTACAGCAAGATTATTTCATTTTGATTATAAAATTTTACATTGCTATTTTAATTCCTAATTGAGGCTTATCATCTGTATTCAGCTTTCACTGTTGATCTCAGAATTTATCTTAACAGGCATTTTCTAAATTTTAGTTTACCACTTGTGCTAAAAAGACGTTCCACGCACGTCGAGATGCTTTTGTTTGAAACCACGTGCAAAAATGAAAATAATGTGTTGCACAAGTCGCCTAACAACGAGATTGTTTATTTCTCGAGTTACAGCTCTGGATTGCACTCGCAGACACGGAGCGGCGTAAATAGACACTCTGCCGCTTGTTATATTGTAGCACACGGCACCACAACCGTGAAGTTTAGTCGTAGCGCAAGTGGTTAACAGCACGTTTCTGATAGACCATTTTAAAAGCTGTTTTCTAATAGTAAAAAAAAAAAAAAAAAGCAGTTACTATAATTTAACAAATTAACTGTAATATTTTATTTGTATTAGCTTATATAATCATGCACAAAGTTAACAGTTCTTTTCAATTTCAGACTGGTTAGAAATAAATAAAGCATATTAATAAATAAAAAAATTAAATTGATTAAAATAGTATTTAAATTTGTTCAATGGAGCATTACGGTTTTGAAACAATTGGTGAAGTATTATAATATATTTTTAGCATTTTTTATTTTTAATATTCGATCTTTACTGTCAATTAATAAACATACGATTTATTCGCCTTTAGTTTTTATTTATTAAATATTTATCTAATTTTTAAAATAAGTTTCCACCAGCAGCTGAAAGGTAAAGTCGCCGAATATTGGTAATTCGATTTGTGTTTGATTCCAGGTGAATGGGCTGGCTATATGAATGTTTCACGGTGTTGCTATGTTTAATGTGGATAAAAGCCAGTTTTCTTTAGAACTTCCCTCCACAGTGGCATCCTTCTCTGTGGGCAAATAGCTCTAGAGTGTTTTTGCCGTAATCCAGTAAACCAAACTATTAACACCAGTATATGTTTCTGATTCTTAAATAGTGAATATTTATTGCTCGAAGTAAATACATTGATGAATGTATTTAATTTGAAATACATCTGAAATCTTTCACACCTTTTTTTTTTTTTAAATTCTTTTTTGCTCTGATATAGTAAAACAAAATATGCACACAAAAATATATGATGGTCTGATTTATTTTTAATCATGATTCCCCCTCCCCAAGACATACCTCTTAATTAAAAAGTGCCATATTCTAAGGGAATAAGATGAATAACATCAAAACTAATCTAGAAAATGTTTTTGATAATTAACTTTAATTCATTAACACTTCTTTTTTAATTAGTATTGGGGAAATTCTGTTATTTTGGAATAGTATTAATTTAAAAAAATCCCAAGATATCACTATTAGTTTTAAATGTTTTACTTTAAACTTCAAATAGTCCTTTACATATTATGACTTTTCTAATGTCACTTATTTGTTTATGGTTTATTATTATTATTATTATTATTCTTTAATTGTATATTTCAGTGTTGAAAATATTTAAATATATTTTTTATGTCCAGGGTCGTAATATTGTTCGTATTTTATGGCTCTCAAACTGGCACTGCTGAAGAATTTGCAGCACGATTGGCTAAAGAAGCTAGTCGTTATGGAATGAAAGCAATGGTTGCCGATCCAGAAGAATATGATATGGTCAGTTGAACATGTTTTTTGTTAGTAGAATGTGTTAGTTTTAATGTACTTAAAATCATTAGCACAAGTATGATAATTTTTAAAAAATTGTAAGAAATACAGTCCAATTCTGATTTACCTGGTATCCTCAAATTGGAAATGTTTTCAACAATCTGGCCTGAAATATATCAATGGAAAATTATCATATTTTAAAAACTTTTAAAACATATTTTTGTGTGTGTTTAATCCTCTGAGCATTTGATTGCTTTTATCCAGTCATGAAATTTTTTACCGCTTTATATATGTTACTTTATTATTTAAAATAATGTTCTCTTTTTTTTATTATCTATTTATCATTATAATGAACAGGTAACTGTGAAAACAAAGATTACACAAATTAATTATGCAAATCTAGTTAATAAACTGAGCTCTTCCTGTATAGCTTCAAAAAAATTCCAGCCACTTAGAGAACTGGGATTTCATATTCTGAAATGCTATTCGCTTCATTTTATGAAGAAAAAGTAAATAAATAATAAAGTTAAATTAAGAGAATTTTAGAAGCTAATTTTATAACTCTTATTTTAGATCATATACAATCTAGAACAAAAATGTGTGTTCATAGTTAGAATTTTATTTAAAGCTTTTCAAGTGAATTTCATGATGTTCAAGTGTTTTGTTTTTTCCCTTAAAATATGTTTACTAGCCCATTCATTTCTATCAGACATTATATAATCTTATGTTCAAGGAGGGAATAAAAAATGTGAACTCTTCTCATCTGTTTCTAATCACAAACATAAGCCAAGATATTATGAGTTTGTTTTCAATTCATCTCAATAAAAATGATCACTTGAATTTTTGGCTTTAGCAGTTCTTGTAAAAGTTGTGTGTTATTGATCCTGTTATTAGTAGACTTGTTCATAATATAATGTTAGTGAAAATGTTGAATAGTATACATTGTGCATTTGTATGAAATTTATTAAATTACTGTGAAATTTTGAAATAAAAGAAAGATTTGAATGGCAGTTTTATTTATAGGAAAATTTGTTATTAATTTATTGAAGAATTAATAAACACTGTATTATTACTGAACTCAAAAAAGCCTTTTGAAGACTTGTTTGGCCTAATTTCAATATAATAGCGATGTAAAGATTTAAACACTTTGAGAGTTATCAGAAAATGACAATCACTTGAAGTGATCAAAAATGTTTGACAGAATAGTGAGTGCCATCTGATTAGTTTATTCTGACATTTCCATAAACCTTATTTTTAAAAAAATCTGTATTTTTAAAATGTGTTAAAATGGTGTAATAAATGTAGTATGTCTCTATCTAGGTACTTTATTGGTTGCGTAGCACCTGAAAACAGTATGTGGTTTTGAGAATAATGCTAGATTTAACTTCTGAAAAAAAAAAAAAATACTGTTGGGTGAGAAAAACAGTTTGCTGATGCCTCACGAACAACAGACATAGGTGTAAAAGCAGGCAATAAAATTTAAGCTTGTTTATGAAGTAATCAAAACGCTACAAAAGTTAATTAATATATCTGTGTATATTTGCAACAAAATATGCAGAGTGTGTGATGAATAATAATTAAAAAATTAAATTCTGAAAAATCTTGGTTGACATTATATCACAGCTCTTTGAAATTAGAGATTTCAGGTTTAATTTACTAATCAAATGATAATGGTTAATTTATGAATACATTTCTTTCATATCTCTGTTTTGTTGCTTTGATTATTTCAGGAAGATCTGGCTAAAGTACCTGAAATAGAAAACTCTCTTGCAATATTTTGTGTTGCAACATATGGAGAAGGTGATCCAACTGATAATGCCCAAGAATTTTATCAGTGGCTTCAGGCTGGAGATACTGATTTGAGTGGATTAAATTATGCTGTAAGTATTTGGGACATTTTTTTACATTTCGAGCAAAAGATCTGAATAATTTTAAACCTGAACATTGGTTAATAGCAGTTTAACAAAATAGTGTTGCTTCAAAGATACTCTGTTCTAATTTGTGGTAGAATTTAATTAATCAATGCCTAGTTTCGAGTCCATTAATAATTTTAATATGTGTTTAATAGATCTTTGATATATTTTTATGATGTTTGTGGCATAAGCATGTATGGTACTTGCGTATTATCCTGGCAAATATGAAAGTTGGCTACTTTCAAACCATGAAAATTGGTATGGATCTCGCCATAATTACATCAGTTGTTCCTGTGGAATTCTGAAGGAACAGACACCTCAAAATTTAATAAACAATTGATTCAATCCACTTTGTTTTTTAGCTTTGTAAAAAGACTTTCATTGTTTTCTATGTTTCTACTATTATGGTCTTGTTATTAGGCCTTGATTTTATCAGAAGCTCTATTTAGAACATTATGAGTACAGACAATGTGCAGGTAATTATTCCAACACACTAATATTTTGTCAGCTGTTTTCAAATGATCATATTTACAGATTTTTAGTCCAAAGGGGCAGTTTGCCCAGAAAGACTATGAATTTCATTTTGTCATTTTGCATTGATTCACGTACAAGCATGTTCACTTTTCAGATTGTTGCCACCAAATATTATTGCCCTGTATTATATTTAAAGAAATTAAATAACGAAGAATTTGCATAAATGTATGCATGTTTCTCACGTTGTGATAAAACAACGGTACCTGGAGCCTAAAAATTTTGAATAACATTATCTTCCTGCGAATGTAAGCATATGGAACCCAAATTTGGAATTTATTATCTTTTTCATATTTAAAATTTTAACAAGTTTTTAACAAACTCGACGATTTAAACGCAAGCAATGACAACACTGTATTGGGGGGAACCTTTTTATCTCCAGCGCCAGGAACTGTGTATTGGAAATTCTAAAGATATGCTCATTTTAATGTTATTTTGTATTATGACTGTTGAACTGAATGGTTAAGTGTTAAGAACATGATATTTAATAAATGAAAGTAACACACAAAATGTTAAAAAAAAAAAAAAAAAAAAAAGCTACTTTGGACGTAATTTAAAACCTGAAACCTTTCAGTGTTTTTTTTTTGGGGGGGGCTAAGATAACATTAAGGAAAATAATCCACTCCTTGCTGTTTTGTAGAAGAAATTTTTTTTTTTTTTTTTTTTTTTTCCAAAAAATGCTCAGAAAAAATATATCAATAGCATTTAATTTAAATATTCATTCATAAAAAAGTGGCTTATTAAGAATCAATTGTGGTTGCATCAAACAAAAGTGCAAATGTTATAAATGTGTTGTTACATCATGCGTATTCATAACTGGTGTTAAATCACACTGCTTAATGGCAGCTCCACAGTTAACAGGATTGCAGGTACCCATGTATTTTCCATCTATCTCAGTATGGTTTGCTATCTAGTCATACCAGTTTCCAAGTGCATTTCATTTAAACTGCCACTTCATCCTGGATTAATTCATTCACATTTTTCATGTTTTTCATCATGCTTAACATGAATATAAGCCTGCTTTTCTTAAAAAGTCTTTCATGAAAACATGTTTCTTTTAAGCAGATAGGTGTCAAAAGCTTTCTCGTGATAAATAATCTCATCCATAGTAAAGAGGTAATTAGATCTGCTTGAATGCATTAATCTTTGTAATATAAATTTAAGAAAATTGAAATCCTATTTCCTATTTTGGTTACTAAGCCTGAACAAAGAAATTTTAAATATTGGAAATTTTCTCTCGCTATACAGTACACTCCCGATTATCCGCGGAATTGGGTGGCGTGGCCGCAGCGGATAACAAAAATCGCGGATAATCCGAAAAAAGCTAAAAACGGGTATTGCAAAAGAGAAAACAACTTTACAACTTTGAAAAATCATTTTATGTACAATAAAACGTAAAATAAACAGCAGTAAATGTTTAGCTAACGCTTAATATTTTAGTATATCACTTAAAACTAACCTAAAATGCATTTTGTTAATGAAAACAGAAAAGTGCTTTATACTTGCGAGAGGCATCAAGGATACACAGAAAAATTAATGTGTACTGTTTTAATACTGTAATGTATTATGTAATTACAAAAGCATAACTGTAAAACTACACCTTTTTGGAGAAATCAGTCATTTGTGTTTGCTTCTTGCTTTGGAAGCATTTTCTCTTGTAACGAGATTGCATTTTTTCATAAGGTAGCATCGTCTTGTTCTTAAATAGCTCCGCAGTCCTGCTTGTTAGCAAAGCCGCTTCGTGAGTCTTCCGCATCTACACAGTGGGCTCTCTTCGCCTTTACTTTGCTGTCCTTCATTCTCGGTCTCTCCCCTTGCTTTCTTCACAATTTCGTCATCTGTCAAGCGTTCGAAGCCAGGTTCGTTGACATCACACTCCAATCACTCAATTATGTTTTCAGCATCAACGTTCTCACCACCCGGAACTGTTTTTCACTATATCGGCAAGAGTCGCCGTGGGTGTGTCTACATCTTTATTCACTTTCTTACAACTCAAAGCGGTTAGGTTGTTCTTGGCTTCAACATTAGGCATGAGTTTTCTCCATGATTTATGAGGGTTGACGGTTTCACTGAGTCCCATGCAGATGCAATATCGTAGATGCTGTCCAAGATTGTGTAGTGTTTCCAAAACTCTTTCAGATCATAACCTTCTTCAATTTTGGTCATTAGCAGCTTGGTTCGGTATGTTCTCTTCATTGTTGCAATGACTCCTTGGTCCATGGGTTGGATTAGCGCAGTAACGTTCGGGGGGAGAAACTTTGCAAAAATTTGTCCATCAGAAGACTTTAGCACGCTTGTTGCTGGGTAAGAAGGTGCATTGTCGATCAATAGCACAGCTTTTTCAGGCAGGTTTTTCGATTTAAGATGTTTACGCACTTGAAGAACAAAAATTGTTTTCGAACCATTCTTCAAAAATGTTTTGGTTCATCCATCCCCTTTCTTTTTTTCTTTTTCTTTCCTTTTTCTTTTTTTTTTTTTTTTTGTTAAAGTAATCAACGGGCAAATTTTCTATACTTCTGCCTTTGAAAGATCTTTTTTTTTTTTTTTTTTTTTTTTTTTTACTTTCCAATGACAACAAGTATAAGTTTATGTCCACCGGTAGCAGTTACATTGCAAGACATGATAGTGATCCTTTCCTTGCTGCTTTTATGACCCGCCCCGCCGCTTTACTTTCACTTTCACATGCTAAAGTGTGAGTGGGAAGACATTTCCACAAATGTCCCGATTCGTCGGAATTGTAAATTTTTTCAAAAGATAGCTCTTCTTTTAAAACAAATTCTTCAAATTCATGGTGGAAATCATCGGGTTCTTGTTGGTCACCACTAAGTTTTTCCCTATGAAGTCCAATTTCTTGAATTCCAAGATTAAGACGAAAGAGGGCGGTGGAGCGAGTAAGAAATCAAGTACTCATCAGAGGAAGTCTACTGTATTGGAAATTATTCCATGTCTGTTCCTTCTTTAGCAGTCATCTAGTTTATTGCAATTTCAGGGTGATTTTTAGCATTAATTATAACCTAAGAGTGTTTATTTAAATGCAGATTTTTTTGTCATTAGAATTTTATCCTGTGTCAGAAGAATTTCTTTAAGTTAATATTAATACTAAATAAAAATTATGTTGATGCTACTGAAGTTATAATTTTTTTTCCTCTAAAAATAAAACCAATTGCATTAGTAGTAAAGACGTTATTCCATGCACCTTTTTTTTTTCCCTATGAAGTCCAATGGTCTGATGGGAAAGCGAAAATTAAGATGATATTTGAAGTGTGCGCCAATGCTGTTACAATAAATCTAAATACATCATTAGATAGATGGAGAACACATTAGAAAAGATTTTTTTTTTTAATTGGACAAAGGATATATGCAAAGCAAAATTTTGGAATAAAATAAAGCACAAAGCTCAAGTCCATACTCATGCAAGACCACATGTGAATGGCAAGGTTGTCTGGTAGACAATCGGTGTGTTCGGGTGATGTTTCCTGTGTTTTATTTTGTCAGACTAGTGGTGATGCGATTTATAGAAATTTGAAGAGTGTAGCAGATTGTATACCAACAGAATTTACTGTTAAGCAGCATCAGCCCACCAGCGGCCAAGCGGTAAAGTCGCTGAACACTGGTAGTTCGGTCCGAGGTTCGAATCCCGCGAACGGGCTGGCTGCATGGGCGTTTTTGTGGTTTTCCCCATGTGTAACGTGTATACGAGCCAGTGTCCCTTAGAAAGTCCTCCACGAAGGCATCCCTCCCCTTAGGCAGATAGCCCTAGTGTGCTTTGCCATAATCAAATACACCAACGTTAAGCAGCACATAGAATACATTATTCATAAGCAGGCGATATTTGTATGGTTGATGTAATTGTTAATGGACAGTCAAGATTTAATTTAGCATCCATGTATATTCCTCCAATTGTTCATTCAGAAGATCTGAAGATATTTTTGTTAAGTGCCTGGATGAAATATTCTTCTATACCCTATTGATGATGAAGAGTTTAGATACAGATGTTCATCCAAGTACACCTGGCAATTCATTTATAGATTTAACGTTTACTAGAAATATAACTGCAGACATCTTAAATGTATCTTATTTCTCACATCATCAGCCAGTTTTATGTAGGGTCATTTTGAATGAAAAATGTAATATATATATATATATATATATATATAATATATATATGAGTAAAATCTTTTGTTTGTTTTATTTGTTCTATAACATCCTCATACTATCTCATGCATTAAACACCAGTAGCTCTTTAAATGAAAAAAGAGAGAGAGCCTACCATTATTATTATTATTATTATTATTATTTTAAATTTCAGACTGAAAAAAAATTGGAACGTAGTTTTTTAATATCTGGTGTAATTTAATTATTTCTTAATATTTTCGAAATTTATTTTAAGGTTTTTGGCCTTGGCAATAAAACATATGAACATTATAACTCGATGGGTAAATATGTTGACAGTCGCCTTGAAGAACTGGGTGCTGTACGAGTTTTTGAATTGGGTCTTGGTGATGATGATGCAAAGTAAGAGTTTGATCAATATAAGTTTGAATGCATTAACTATTAAATTTACTAATATCTTGTTATTAGATATGCATAATGTAATCTATAATCTTGTGCATTATGCATTTATATTCTTTTCTTTTTTAATTAGTATTGAAGAGGATTTCATTACATGGAAAGAAAGATTTTGGGGTGCTGTATGTGAACATTTCCATATTGAATCATTGGGTGAAGATATCAATTTGCGACAGTACCAACTTGTTATTCATGATGATATACCTTCTGAAAAAATTTTCACTGGAGAAATAGCACGTCTGAATTCCTATAAGAATCAGCGACCGTATGTATTGAATATTATTACAAATATACATATTTAATAGTTTTGCATTACCTTTGAAGACAATATTTGTAACTTTAATTATTTGCTTTAAAATTTTATTCATAAAATATTAAATTTTTTCCCGCTTTATTTTAGGCCTTTTGACTTAAAGAATCCATATTTGAGTACTATTCTTGTAAACAGAGAATTGTATAAAGGAGACCGATCATGTATGCATGTAGAACTTGACATAAGTTCAGCAAAAATAAGGTATTTTTTCTAAACATACAATGTCAATTTCTATATACTTCAAAAGTTTATTTTTATGTATGTTATCTGTATTTTTCAATTAAAATTTTAGGTATGATGCTGGAGATCATGTTGCTGTTTACCCAACAAATAATCCAGAACTTGTTGAAAAGATTGGAAAATTGTTAGATGTTGATTTAGATACAGTTTTCAGCCTTAATAACCTAGACGGTAAGTTTTCTGCCTTTGTTTTTTAAATTGCATTTAGGGCAGTATTATCTTCTATGTATTTCCATTTTTCTTAAAACTATGCTGATTTTCATAGTTTGAAAGCTTTTATCATAGGAATTTATCTTAGAAAATTAAAGATAAGAGCATTTTCAGCAGAAACTTCTAGAATAAACTTAGTAATTTTAAGTGCAAGTTAAACAGTAGATACTTAATGCTGGATTACTGCTTTTGTAATGTTTAATTGAAAATTTAAAATAATTATACATTTGTGTGAGTTTTGATAGTAGCTGTATCTTAAGGAAGAAGAGAAAAAGCAAAATTTGTGATAGAAATGATGAAATTTGGCTAAATTTGTAGCTAGGGATTTGAACACGCTATTAAGCAGATAACTGTTTAGCTACAAAGAAAAATGAAATAATATTTAAAAAAATACTTATTATTATGTTCTCAAATCTTTAAATTATTTTTCTGCATAATTTCCATCATTATTTAGTGATTTATCATAAAGCAACAACTTTTGCATTCTTTTTAAGGGGTACAGATACATACACACACACACATAAATGTGATTTCAGTTTATTCAGTTGCACTTCATATCTTTGTCACTGACTTACAGGAAAACATTTTCAAGTGCAGGAAGCAGAATATACCCTAATATCTCAAAAAATATACTGCCGCATATGAAAAGCAGTAATCGGAATATCTGTTGCATATATCTAAATAATCACTATATTGTACATTTTTATCATTGAAAAAGTCTTCAAACTCTTCACACAGTATTAAAATTATGTCACTGTTGACTAAACGGGGTCAGTTTCCCTTGAGTTAGGGGGGAACTTCAAACTATTCACACAGTATTAAAAGTATGTCACTGTTGACTAAATGGGGTCAATATCGCTTGAGTTAGGGGAGGAAATCGCCTTTATGTTTCAGAAATGTTCTAATATCTTGAGGTGTAATTAAAGGTTAAAATTTTTGCTTTCGATTTAAAACAGGAAAACATTGGTGATACATTTTATTCTTAAATAATAACAGATTATAGTATTTAAAGTTTCTTAACTGGAAAAAATAATGTAGCAATTATAAATATAGAAATATTATAATTGCTACATTATTTTTTCCAGTTAAGAAACAATTATAAAATAGAAGTTACAAAATAACATATTCAGTTTTTGTTCAAAACTTTGGTATTCTTAGAAAATCTCATAAAATTTGTGAGGGTAATTGCAGGAATTTTCGCGGTGGTAAAATTGTTATCCTAATCACAGTAAAGTGGAAATTATCTTTTTGAATTTCAGTGCTGAATATTATTAGTATTGGAGAAGAATAAGTTCTCCGGGCAGGAAATGTTCAAGTGTATCTCATTAGCATTATGTAGGCAGGCAAGTTTGTAAATTTATCAATTTCAATAGGCCATTGCAGATGCTATAATATTACTTACAGATGGTGGAATTGATTCCAAATGTAAGATAGAAGAAGAGACTAAGGTCATAGAGAAGCCATTATTTATTACAGACTGCTTATCAGAATTATGAGCCCAATGCCACAGATCTGCAGCTGACTTTTCAACATAAATATGATGACTTGCACAAGTCATTCACTGCAGTCTTTAAAAGGAAAAACTGTTTTCATAGTATTTATAGATTTCCTGATAATGAATGGAGAATTCTTGTCATAGGAAACACAGATTTGAATGCTGAAAAATGCTATACTGTTTCTAGAACCTGAATGACAAATAATTGACTCTTCTTATCTGCTGGGGAAAAGGAACTAGGAGAGCCATTTTCTTGGACATAGTATCAAAGAGGAAAAAGTTCTGGAAAATAAAAAAAGTTAAAAAATCTTTCGCTCTACTTTATTCCATGTCCATGTTGATCTCTGTGTAATCCATGACATAGTAAGATACGTGGAAAACTTATGATGCAGTAGAGAGAAATTCTTCCATTCTTTTACTAGATAAGCATATCCAAAGACAGCATAGCTTGATTTACTTGAAATGAAGTTGTGAGGTATTAATTTAATAGTGTGAAAACCCAACTAAGTGTTGCTTAAGCTCAATTAAATGTGTTTGCAGTCTTTTGAAAATACTAAATCCTTACCAATCAACATTTCCACTTTTTTCTGCTAAGTTGGACTGTGGTGTTAGAATTTAATCAAGAAGTGTAAATGTAGATATCTCAGAAAATGCTGAATAAATTCATTTTACTTATTCGATACTCTTATGTTAGGATCAAAACAAATCATGCATCTTATTTTTGATTATCTTACTCTGGAAGTTTAATCACAGTGTAAATGGAATTAACTTGCAAAGAAGAATACCAGATGAAACAATATTTCCCCCTTTACATCCAAAATGAATTGTGCAGTGGTAATGCACATGGATTCTCATGAGAAACCAGAGGTCACTGATTCTAAACCTGGCCAGCTGCTGAAACATTTTACGACTTTCATGAGGAACCGGAATCGCTGATTCTAAACCCAGCCAGCAGCTGAAACGTCTTACCTCCTTATGAACTAACCAAGTGATGGAATCGGAGATGGCAAGATCTTTTATATCTCTAGATGGTGTCCCATGTCAAGACTTTGAGGCTTTATTCATTCACCTCATCTGTCGCCTACTTCACTTGCTTAAATTTTAATTTTTGCCAACATCTTAGGGCAAAAGCTTTAATAACCAGTATGCCTTTTGTGCCATCTATGTATGGTCATGGCTTTACTTATAATTTTTTAAGGGGAGGAGAATAGATCGTTGGTAGTATATTAAATTTTATTACATATTGTATTTTTCCCTAATATTGTTGACTGGTAAATATAAATTTCTTGTGAGTGTATTAGATTATTTAATATCTAAATATATTTTTGTTTACCAAGTTTGATTTTTACCCCCCTTTATTTTGTACATAAATTGTAATATTTTAAAGCAGTGATGACTCACTGGTAGCTTGTAAACCACATACTATCACTGAGGGTCTTTTCTGTGGCATGCAACTAAATTAACAAGCTTTATTATTATTTATAAAATTTCTGAATTTGTATGTATTGTCGTACTTTTAACCATCTTAGGACTGTTTTCATTTAAAGATTATTCAGAATTAAAACAACAAGGACCATAAAACATGTATATCATTCCAGAATATATTCTTAAATATATATTAAATGTAATTGTGGAGCCTGCATCTTGAAGACTCTTTATTATTTATTTTTATTAGAAGGTTAACTCGGCTTTATTTAAATTTTAAAAATTGTGATTTTAAAAAAGTTACTTTTCATGTCCTTTATATTACATTGCTTTTGGTAATTTCATATATTTTTGTAAATATTTTTAGAGGATAGCACTAAAAAGCATCCATTTCCATGTCCAACAACTTATCGTACTGCCTTACTACATTATGTTGATATTACAAGCATTCCTCGCACCCACGTTCTTAAAGAAATAGCAGAGTATGCTGAAAAAGAAGAGGATAAAAATATGCTCAAAATGATGGCTACATCTTCAGAAGAAGGAAAGGTCAGAAATTTTGCATATTTAGTTCATATATATTTCATTAGAGAGATGTGCAGTGGAACTTCGCTTCAAGCATTATTTTTCCTGAATCTTGTAATACAAAATGCTTGTTAACTGAAACAATCTTTTCAGTAGGAATTGATGTAAAATAGGATAATGCATTCCATTTAGAAAAAAGTATTCAAACAAATTTATAACTATGTAATTTTTTATCTAAAATTCATCATTTTAGAAAGTTGTCTAAAAACAATTGTTTTTGCTTGTGTTTCAAAATTTGACAAAAATCAGACACAACAGTATTGTTAAATAAATTTGTATTGTGCATTGGATGATGCTTATCAATGTACAGTGCAACAGCTTCCATGTGGAAGACTTTATTCCAATGGAATAAAAGACATACTTTTTCTCCAGAAGGCTGGTACTTTGCTGAGGTTTTTATCTCCTCCTCTGCAATTTCTTACTGTGACACAGAATGCATTTTCATGAGCTCTTCAGTGATCAGCTCCTGGATGTGCTTTTCCACTAGCTTATCGATTGTAAATTCTATCCCCATAGTCTTGGCCAGAGACACAGTGTCATCGATTGCAGACTCCACAGGCACTTGATCATATCCCTTGGAATTGCAATCAGCAATGCTGTTCGGCCAAACCTTCTTCCATGCAGAAATAAGGGTTCTATTGGTATCCCTTCCCATGCTTTAACAGTCATCTTAAGGCAGGTAGGTTGCTGTGTGAAAGTGGTCCTTACGAAATTCTGAAAGTTTTTTTTTGACTGGTTTTTTTTCAGTTGCCTCAGAACAATAGTCAAAAGAGTACTTTTGAAAATTTTAGATAGGGCTTTCAAAATTTAAAATAATCTGCTGGTCCATGGGCTGCAGTAAAGGAATGGTGTTAAGAGGCAAGAAATCAATCTTGATGAATAGAAATTCTTCAAGAAGGCCATTTTCTTGGCCTAGAGATTGCGTAGGAGCATTGTCCATAACAAGCAAGGCACAAAGTTGCAAGTTCATCTGAAGCAGGGTTTTTTTTTTTTTCTCTCTCTCTGGAGACAGCCTAAACACTTTATTGATCCAATCTATAAAAATATTAATTGCCCCCCTAACTTTGTTGTTGGACTTTCAGATAGCATTTACCTTGATTGAATGAATTTTGTACTTCTTGGAGGTTCATAGATTGGTACTTTGTAAATGGTAAATGAGCAGCACCTTGAATATTTCAAGCCACCTATAGTTTACCATTGATCCTTCTTCCTTCGTTTATTATTCTGATGTCTTCTTAATAAGCTCAGCAAAGATTAGTTTTGCCTTCTCACAAATTATGTTTTTGTTAATAGCCTTGCATTTGCTTCTCGTTGATCCCTATGAGAAACAATCTTTCAAAATTATCAAGGATAATATCAAGAATCTGTTGCATAGAAAATTTTGTGACACTTTTAAGCATCAGTCTTCTTAATCTTATTGTTGTTTTTGAGGATAGTATAAACTATTGAACTATTGATGTAGACTGATTATATGTGTGTGCTAGATCAGCTTTGCTCATATCGCATTCCCACTTCTCAATGATTTGGCATTTGACTTCTCCAGCGATTCCCCCCCCCATCTCACCCGTCTTCTTGTAGAATTTTTTTTGGGAGACAAATATGCAAGCATTCTTAAACTTTCCCCTAAAAATATACACAATAATATGTCTGAATACAGCTTCCACAAGTGACAATAAGATGCTAGCTGAACGAGTGCTAAATACAGACTGATAGCCAAGATGCTGCAGAATCCTTAATGTGGTGTCATCTTGTCTCCACATCACTCATTCTGAAAAACACTGCTCATTAAGGATGTATTTTTTGTTTTGCTCATTATAGGAGCTGCTTTTTATGTGATGTTTGACTGCTTGTTAAATGAAATTTATGTTTAAAATAGAACAAAACTTTATGCAGTAAGTTAAGAGAAATTCATAGCATTAATTGAGCTTGTAGTTTTATAAGACTGAAGGAATTGTTGGGTTGGAATTAAAAAAAAATTCTACTTTGGAGTTGTATATAAAATTTTTCGTCAGTGTCAAATATCATGAATTTAGTCTTAGTCTTATTTTCCTTATAAAAGTGAATTAATACTTTTTTATTTCTATTATTAGCTGTTGAGAATTTAGTGTCTTACAAAGTTAGATAGCAAAAGCATGTTATTGTAATGAATAAATTAATTTTTTAATTATTTTTTCTTTAATAGCATATGTATTTGACTTGGGTTGTCAAAAATTGCCGCAGTATAATACACATTCTAGAAGATTTACCTTCACTGAAACCTCCACTAGATCATGTACTGGAATTGCTACCAAGACTTCAGGCACGATATTATTCTATTTCATCTTCTCCAAAGGTTAGTATATTTTTTATATGCATTTTATTGTTAAAAACTGGGATCAATATTATGTATTTGTTTTATTTTGTATGTGATATTTTATACCATTGATACAATAACTTCTTATTTAATTAAATATAAATTTTTGTCTAAAACTAAATGGAAGATTCAGTTCCTCTTCCCATAATAATTTGAGTATCCTATTAATTACTGCATTCACAGTTAATTTTATATTATTTGCAATGGTACAGAACTTAAAAATGAATTCACTGAGTAATTCACAGTGTATAACGCCAATCAAAATCCAATAATTTTTTATCTTGTGTAGCTAGCAAATGTGAAGCAAAAATTTATCATTTTGGCAGTTTATAGTTTTATACAAGATATTAAAAATATAGCTTTGATTCGATACTAAGTTCTAATTAGTAAAATTTACTTGTGCAGAACATGCTAAAAGATAGATTTTTATATTTACAGAATGATCCCACGTACAGTACTATTTTATTAAAACTTCTTAACATTATTTTTATTTAGAAATTAGAAGCATGTATTCAGAAAAAAAGGGAAACTTAGTGTCAAATTTCTTATTTTTATTTGGAAATTATAAGTTTGTGTTCAGAAGAAAGGGAAACTTAATATCATCTTGCAATTTTAGCTTCAAAAAATCTGAACGATGAAAATACAGGTTTTTTACAAAAAAATTATTATATTTTTATTTTATTTATTGATGTAAGAAATTCCTTTTTAGGAATACAGTTTGAATAGTGCAAGGGTTAAAAGTTATCCCACACTACTGAAAATCAGCCTGTACTATTATAGTCTTCCCCAAAATTTAAATTTATAAAAGCCTGCTGTGGATTATGAAGTATTACCACTAATGTAAACACTCAATCAATACAGAATTTGTATCTAATAAATTTAAATAATATTTTCTTAAAATAACTAGAAAAATGTATTATTCAGAAAATCCATATACTGAACTATAGTGTTTTTGGTCAGTGTGTAATTTTGCTTTATTACATGCAAGAAGAACTGTGAGTACAAATACTTTAAAAAGATTATTAATAAACATATATGAACCCATTTGAACAATGAAATAATCATCTATAAATCTATTTTATAATAATAAATAATTAAATTAAATTAAAAAAGGTACTTGTCTTATAAATCTTGTTTGTAGAAATATCGATGTTTGTGTAGCAGCTAGTAAAATAATTGCTTTGAATTTTTTTATGCAACAATACATGCAACATGCATGCAATTTACACATGCAACAATTTGTACTGATTTCAGTCTTTTTTTCCTCTTTTTTTTTAGCTCTATCCAACATCTATTCATATTACAGCTGTATTAGTTGATTATGAAACTCCAACTAAACGTATCAACAAAGGAGTTACTACAGGATGGCTGAAAACTTTGCAAGTGTCCGATGAAAACCATCCTCAAATTCCGATATTTGTCAGAAGGTCTCAGTTCAGGCTTCCAAGCAAACCTCAGACACCCATCATAATGATTGGACCAGGAACTGGTTTGGCTCCATTTAGAGGTTTCATACAGGAGAGACATTACTTGAAAAAAGAAGGTAAATATTTTAAATTATTTGCTGTCTACTATGTATAATTTGGTGCTTTTGACTATGATTTTGTAAAAATTATGCTATTAATTCCACCATGATTTTAAGTTAGTAATTTATAAAGAATTTACATATAACTAACTATATCGCAATTTTGTGTCATATAAGAAAATGACACAGTGTTTTCCATTTAATATATCCAAACTGAATTTTTTGTTTCTACCCAAACAAAAATGTAGAAGTTCACAAGAATTATGTATGTTTTATGTAAATATGAACAAATCTGACTTCATGTAGAATATTTTTTATCTTTGGAGAAGAGGAACTTGACTCAGACTCCCACAAAATGAATTTTCTTAGAAGATTAACATCTGATTTAAAATCAAATACTGCTTAATTTTAATGTTCAAGATGGTACGCTTTTAAATCTACAGTTTGTCATTCAGCTTGCAATAGGTCCTAATGTTTTTAGAAACATAAAGAAATGTTACATAATTAAATTTTGCATGATTAAAAAATATTGGTACTTTTTGTTTCGCTAACACAAATCTCGCCAAGCAGACTTTATTGGTAATAAACATACAGTATACACGTAAAAAATTTTAACAAATGTTAGTTCTTAAGAATTTTTTATTTTAGAGGCATAAGCATTTTAATATCGTTTAAAATTTTGTAAAAAGTGAATAAATAAAGACAATAAATTTGTAAAAAGACATTAATTTGAGAATTTACTATGCTTTTATGGTTCAACATCCTGATTCGCCAGTTCATATCATGGGACCCCAATTGATCTCATCTCGCGTAAACTACGCTACAAAAATCTAATTCTCTCAGTAATTATCTACATTACTTTCAAGTTAAATCTTAATTTGGAATGCAAGAATTATTTCAATTCGTACAAATAGCTTACTCAGAAATTATGTAAAACTGCAGTGCTTTACTTCACTAGTGCATTCTCATTAGAATTGATGAATTTAACCCTTGACTTTGCCTTTTCTGTATCTTCGCTTTCAAGTGAGCGGTGTGATTGCATCCTAATTGACTTAATTACTGCGAACGGCTTTAAGGCATAAAATTGAACTATCTGGTAAAAAATCTATGTAATTGTATGCCAGTATTAAAAGAAACAATCAGTCTGATGAAAAATGGCTGTGACTTGTTTTGAAAATGAGGCGTAAAGGGTTACCAGTGAGGATATTCCGTTTGGCATCAGTTGTACCATTATTGGCGACTTTGTCGCCTGTGCTGGCAAAACAGAAAAGTACCAAAATATTTTGTGATTAGCGTAATTTCTGAATTTTCCAACTTTTTTGCTATTGCCTAGTTTAAATGAACTTTGGCGTTATTTAATCATAGTCTATGTTTAGCTCTAATCAAAAGATTATTTTCTATTAGTGAATGTTATTATTAATTGTAATATAATGTAATAATGAATTAATTTCAGGAAAACCAGTAGGAGACAGCATTTTGTATTTTGGTTGCCGTAAAGAGGCAGAAGATTTCCTTTATGAAGAGGAATTAAAGCAGTATTTAGAAGATGGAACCCTCACAAAATTATATTTAGCCTTTTCTAGAGATCAACCAGAAAAAGTTTATGTGACACATTTACTCCGTGAAAATAAAGCTGAAATATGGAACGTAATTGGAGAAAGGAACGGTCATATATATGTTTGTGGGTATGTAATTGTTTTCTTTCTTTTTTTGGGGGGGGGGGGAAGGAGGTAATAATTCTATTTGTTGCATATAAATATAGCATTTGAAATTATTACTAGAATGTGTGGTAAAAATATGAGTAACACTCATGTGAACAATGCATATGAATGAATGAAAAGATGAAATTAAATATTAAAAAAATAGTGTTCAGATTTTTGAAAACCTTTAATATCTTGGGTTTTTGTTGAACTTGTGCATGCTTAATATACAGTATTTGTCTCTGAATAAAAATACTCAAAATATAGGGAAAATCATTTATTTTAAAATTTAATTAGAATTAATAGTTGGTGCCTCCCACTTTTGGAAGGTCACCAAAATTTGCCTGATCGATTTTTTACTCCCCCCCCCCTTTTTTTTTAATTCCTGTATGTATTCTACACTGGTGAAATAAATTAAGAGAATTTGCATATTTTATCGAATTGCATGAAAAGAACTGAACTGAAGGAAAAACTAGATAAAAATGCAAATCTTTTATGGCAAATAAGTAAGTGTACACATGTGTGTAGGCGGAGCCAGCAGAACAGGCTTTATAAGCGCATGGAGGGTAAGACGAACTGCATTGACTAGCACACGTCGGTGAATTTCTTGGTGTTATCTTGCAGCAATCGGTTAAATTCACATAGAAAAAGTAAAAATCAGTAACCCCCAACGTTTAGATGATGGAATGAGGTGGAGAATTGTGGGGAGGTTAGAGGCAGGCCAATTGCAAGTCCAGATGTGCAGAGAGTTTAATTTAATGCCAAGCGTCGTGTGTAACCTATGGAAACAAGAGCCTGAGCAAGGTCGTCCAAGAGCCAGGACGGTCAAAAAAGATCGCTATTTGTTCATTTTAGCGATGCGTAAGAGAGGGGCTACAGCTTCTCGGCTCTTTCGAGACCTGTATGCAGCCACATGAACATGTGTAACAAGAGTGACGGTTTCCAAAAGACTAAATGAGAGAGGGTTGTTTGCCAAAAGACCGGCTGTTTGCATCCTGCTCACGTCTGCAGACAGGAGAGTCCGATTAGCATGTGGTGCAGGCAGTATAGTGATTGGAGTACGGAGCAATGGACGACCATTCTGTTTCCGACAAGTCCTGTTTTAGCCTAAACACTGATTCTCATCGTAGTTTCATACAGAGAGAACCAGGGACCCTCTACCTACCCTCCAGTGTCTGCGAAATTATAGCAGTGGCATAGTCTGAGCAGGCATCATATTGGATGGCCACGCACCTCTCCATGTCTTTGACAGAGGCTCTGTGACTGTTGTGAGGTATAGGGATGAGATTTTGGAGCCCTATGTTTACCTTTTCCGGGGTGTAGTGGATTCCGAGTTCATCTTACAGGACAATAACGCGAGGCCACAAAGAGCTCTTCTGGTCGACGAATTTCTCAAGAATGAGGATATTCAATGGATGGATTGGCCAGCCAGGTCTCCAGACCTCAACCCGATAGAGCATGTCTGGGATACTCTGGAGAGGGCAATTGCAACTCGCAACCCCCTCCGAGAACCATCCAGGAGTTGAAAACACTGTAGCTGAATGAGTATGACCAATTGCCACAGGCACTGACAAACTGCCTTATTTCCAGTATGACATCATGCTGCGTTGCCTGTATGGCTGTAAGAGGGGACCATACCTTCTATTAACCCATTTCTTTTGGGTCTTCTGCAACTGCTTTTTCAGACCTTCAGACTCCCATTAGTGTTACACTCGAACATGTGTCTATTATAACTGTTAAATGTTTATTTTGTTTGTATTATATTAAACTATGTTAGCACCAAATTTTATTAAAAATCTGTCCAGTAGTTCTGGAGATTATAGATCAAATATGAAAATTCTCTTAATTTCTTTGCAGAGTGTATAAACAGTTCAGTATTCAGTCTATAACTATTAAAACTGATATTAAAAAGTAGATATGTAAACAAAAAATAGCATATATTATGATTATTTAAAAAATACATCAAGGTATTAATTCTCAAATTATCATGAGAAATCTCAAGTGCAGTACGGAAAACCCGTAATGTTCATGCCATTATCGTTGACCCCAATTGAATTTTGATAAAAATGTACAAAATTCACATAATTTTATTTGCCTGTTTTTCTGCAAATTCAAACATGCTAACGTCTAGTGAAAACACAGTGTAAAATGACTTCTGCAGCTCATATCCAGGTCAGTTTAAAATTTATTTCAGGCATCTCTTCAGTATTTAGAAGTGGGGAAAAAAATAGAATCATAGATGTGCTGCGAGTGCTTAAAAATGCAACCTAGTAAAATTAATCCAGTGTCATTAATACAGTATAATATAATGATTTAATGAGTGTTTTCAAAAATGCAGTGTACCAACATACCAAATCGTTCCAATGCTTTTGAAGCTCATTGATCTCTGTTTAAAGAATGTGTTTTAAAATGACAAATGACATAAACTGTCTTCCATTTTTTTATTATTATTTTAAAATATATGCTTCATAAATATTTGTAGTCTGCTGTACTGTAGGGGAAATAAAAAGTTGACAGATGCTGCATTATGTAATGAATTGGATTTTATAATAAAGTAATTTGTATCATTTTTTAATTGCAGAGATGCTCGAAATATGGCCAAAGATGTCCATAATATTATTTTAGAAGTTGTTCAAGAATTTGGAGAAAAGACAAAGGCTGAAGCTGAAGCATTCATTAAAAAAATGGAGTCTCAGCGAAGATATTCAGCAGATGTATGGAGTTAACACACATTTTATATTTATTATGTATAAAAGAAAAATCATCATTGACTTTTTGCAAAAATACATTTCTGTTGAACAACTTTCTGGATCAATGAAATGTTCTGCTAAAGGTTATACACGTTAAATAATTATATTTATTTAAAAAAATTATTTTACATGGTATAAATAAGTATTAGCTTAATTATATTGTGCCTTATGAGAATTCTGAGCTTTATGAATTAAGACTGTGCAAACCGTATATTTAACTATTGTCATTTTGTAGTAAAACTGGAAGGGTTCAAGATTTTAAATTATTTATGGGACCAGATCAAATCTGTCATTTTTTTTATTTAAAAGTTTCATTGATGAATGTCTTTGAATATTAACATTACTCTGGGAATTCTTATATAAAACTTGATTTTTTTAAACCTATGTTGTTAAAAAGTACGGTTACTTTTTCAAATCAATGTTGTTGATTTTTTTTCGTTCATTTTTGAAATATTTATTTTTTGCAATTTTTTTCATTATTATCTGCAGCACAAATATGAAATGAATTTCAGAAAAGATTTCAAATTGTATGTAATATTTATTAATCTTTAAAGAAGGCCACTTAATGTGTTCCTTTGGTTATCAACATTTGAAACTGTGAAATTTAATACAAAAGCTTTTCTGAGTTTTGCTATGATTAATATTATTAATTTTCAACTATTATTGAGTGTGAAGTATCTTTGTTTAACTTTGCACTAAATTAATGGTTAACTTATATAAAATTAACCTGCCAGTTTTTATTATATTCATATAAAATTCATTGATTTAGAATTACATGGCTGCAGTTTTTCTATTCTTAAATGAAAAAAAAAAAAAAAAAAAATCAGATAATTCTTTTAATGAATTTTATTAATGTTGTTGGCTGTAACAATTTTATTTTTGTATGTTGTTTTATTGTATCCTTTACATTTATGCAGCTTTTAAAATATTCCACTTAAATTTGTAATTTTTAATAAGTATGTTTAGTTTTTGTGTAAATTAAAAATGTTCTTCTGTTTTATCTAGAAAATGAATGTGCCAATTTAAAAACATTACTTATTACATTGTTAAAAAGCACTTTTCATGTGAATAACATAATTTTTTTTAGAATTCTTGCATTCACTAGTCATGAGTTGCTTCTTTTTATTGCATAATATTTCAGTTGCATCATCTAATCAAAACAGTAATTAATATTGCTATTAATGGAATATAAATGTGGTTTAGTGAATGATTTAGGCATACATTGCATAAATCTTCAAATGTTAAATGAAATAGATCCTGTTATGAAGATTTTATATTTGATTACATATGTGTGTAATAAGTTTTTAAATATTGTTACACATAATATATATCTAATCAAATATGTATGGTTTTATCACAATTGGATAGGGGCAGAACAGAGAGAAATTAATTTCTGTGATGTTATGAGTAATATTTCTATTTTTATACTTATATTTTTCTGTCAGTCTTTTTGTATATTGGAAACTGTAAAGAAAAGCCTGTAAATAAAGGATGCTTTTACCTTTATATAAAACGCTTTCTGTAATATTTAATTTTATTGTGTACAACTAATGTCATTCTCTTACAGCATCACTTTTTTGGGGGAAATTAATGTTTAGTATATTTTCTCGTGTAAAATGTCTGTTAATTATGAAGTGTGAAGGTTATGTTCATTTTAAATTAATTGGATCTTTTCCAGCCTGGTAAAAGTTAACTGGGTCATCTTCAACCTGCAAGTTATTTGAATACTCATAAGATCATTTGTAAAAAAATACTACTGAAATCAAAGTAATTATTTACGGGAAAATAATAATAATCAGTATCATTGACCCTAAATATCGCATTCCATTTCCACTAGGAAAATATCTTTAGAAACAAAATACAGAAATGTTATGAACTAATTCAATAAAAAAAAGTTAAAAAAACACCAACATTTCTAGAATTTTTTTTTTTTTTTTTTTTTTTTTTTTTTTTGTCGTGCTAAAAATATACTTTGCTCTAAATTTGTATTTTTAAGAGAGGGAAAATTTGGATGGAGGGAGAATTTCATCTTAAAATAGTTGATGCCCCCAAATGGAAACTTTAGTGCTTTTAATCCTTCAGTCTGCATGATAATCTGGGAAATTTTCCCCTCATAAAATTATAAAAAACCTATCAGTAGAATACTGATCAAGTCATTTAACGCTGGTAGTTCAAGCTAGGTTTGATTCCAGCTGAATGAGCTGGCTGTATGGGCATTTTCATTATTTTCTAAGTCCATTATGTGAATACGAGACATTTAAAGTCCCCCATGAAAGGCTTCCTCTTAGGCAGAAAGCTTTCATGTGCTTTGCCATAATCAAAGTACCATTAAATCATTACAATTTGTCATTAAAGGATTAAGTTAAATATAGTTTTATACAAATTCATTGATTTAAGCAGATTTGAATAATTTTTTTAATTATCATAAATTTTGGTTTTATAATCCATAGATCCAGTTTAAAAAGAAAGGCATTTTACTATCTTCAGAAATGAAGAATGCGAAATATGTAAAAGAATTATTCTAATGCAGTAGCTTATAGAATCATTAGATTATACTGATGCAGGAACATGAAAAATGAACAGTACCCTCATAGGGATTTGAACTCTAGACCTCCCGAATGTGCATCAAATGTGCTTTCTGGTTACACTGGGAAGGCATTCACAAAAGAGAGAGAAAATACCTTATAAGCTTATTATAAAATTGGTAGAAAAAAGTCTGTAAAAGTACAAACATTGAGCAAATAGGAATTAGAGTATTTTAAAAATGCAACTTAAATAATATATACTTTAAATTCTTTACAGAATAATTTGAGTTTTTTACAGAAATGCTAATGAAATTTAGAGTTTAAAACCAAAGAGGACAACATCACTACTTGATTTACAGCATTTCGGTTGCCATGCTACATCTAGCCGCAAGTTTTATGTATACGACATGTTTGGTGTAACAGATATGAATTACATTTTTAACTTGGCTTTTAATGCTGAGCAATCTGACTAAATGTAGATTTCCATTTGAAATATTCTAATAAATAATTTCAATTTATAAAAAATAAATTGTATTTAGCTATTTCAAAGAGTTTAGTTTTTCATTGTGTATATGAATATGAGCTGTGATTTTGCTGTGTAAATTTGCAATAATTTTAATGCCATTTATCTCAAAATCTTTTAATTTTTATTAATTTACTCTGTGTAGATGAAAATACTGACTCGGAGAGAACATGATTTTCCATTGAAAATGTTTGGCTTGTCATTGAAATACATTTTTGTTGTTAATTTAATTACTGAAAGTAATTTGCAATTACAGTTAAATAGATTTTTCATTTTTTCTGTTTAAACGTAGTGAATGAATTATCCTTTTCTCTTATAAAAAAGCTTGTGCAAGGATTGATAGTAACTCAGTGAATCCCAACAAACGGTTGCTGCATCATAATTTTATCAATCATTCTCATAATATTATCAATATGTATCAAATTCGAGTTTAGCTTTCTCCACAACTGATTCTTTCCATTAAGTAGATGCCCTAGAATACCTTATCATATTCAAATTAAGGGAGAAGAACTATCCAGATTTCCTGACATCGAAAGCTTCTAGCAAATAAACATTTAGATCTATGCTTTTCATATTTCTTGTTAATGTTTTTGATCTCCTGTGGCTGAGTAGAGAAGATTGCTAAATGTTATTAACTTGTGCCAGATCCCACGTACATCATGAATACAAATCAGTATCCCTTAAAAAGTGTTCTACCAAGTGTACATTCTAAGCTGGCGATTCCAAAGTACATTTGATCAATCGAAAATGCCATATATTTTTTAAAGCATGGTTTCATCATTAATATAATAATATTTATAAGGCATTTTCTCCCTCCTTTCTTTATGGCTTCATGGTGTAACAATAACACACATATCGAGAGGTCCAGGTTCGAGTCCCGGCGAGGGCATTGCTATTTTTCATGTACTGTTTCAAAATAGCCTAATGACTCTACAAGTTAATGTTTATTTTTCATCTCTCAATTGAACACGTCATTGATTATCTTGTGCGACTTGAATGCATTGAGTTTTTTTTAATTTGATTGATAAGTCATGGGTAATTTTTTAATTCAGAAAGTCGGTCATAATAACATTTTCATTCTGTTTCTCTTTCTTCATTTAACTCACCCACATCCCTTAAAATTTCTTTAGCAAAATCAGATTACTTTTAAAGACTGTATTTTGTTACATCAGTTATCTGTGAATCAATGGAAAGAAATTTTAATTTATAAAAGAGCAAAAAGAAATTTTAAGATTTCTTTCTGCTCCTTTATATTAATTATTTTGTAATTAGTGTAACTGAAATAAGCTCTTTTATTATTAGTTATCTTAAAATTAGAGAGGACATTTATCTTAATTCTACCGCAGCAAGTTTCATACCGTGGCTTTTATTTCTTTGACGCTTGGCATATTATTTTATTACTTCATATAAACAACTGAGCAACTCAGAAAATATGAAACCATATTTTACTTTCTCTCCCAAAAAATGTATCTAGTCTAGGGTTGATAATGAGTATGATATTTTAAAATGTTACCTCTCGATGCTTCAAAAAATGAAGTTGTAATTTCCATTATAAAGGATATAGCTAATTTGGCACCTCTCCTAACCGTTCACCTAAGCAAAGTGCCCCTATTGCCCCAGCTGTGTCCAAGATGCTCAATTATTTTCTGTTCTCAGTGTCTGTTAATTGTTTGCTACATTCATCAAATCTGTCATCACTTTCGTTTTTTCTCATTTAGTGCTTGTCTGGAATTATTTTAATACTGAAGCATCTCTAGCCGCCTGCTTTTTATGATGATTTAAATGTTTGAATGTGCGCTTTGCATCCTTTGCTACTGTAAGTATCCCTATTATTCATGTTTCATCAATTATGTTGATGAAAATAGATGTTAATCATTTTTCGTCTGCTACCTTAAAAATCATTTTGTCAACAGCAACTTTTCTCTGAAATGCGAGTGTTTATTCTAGCCCATACTCATCTGTTGCTGCTCTGCATGGGCCAATTTATGTAAAACTAACTGGAAGCAGATTCAGTCCGGATTCTAAAACAAATCACATGCTGCCCATGGTTTGTCAAGAATAATGTAATTTATAAAGATTTAGGACATAGCTCAATTCCATGCCTATTTACATTACCTGACACATAATTTTTATTTAACCCTCAGAAATACAACCAAATAGCATTATTCCCATTTATAATTATTCTAACTATGTCAAGCAGTCATTTTAATTAATAATCTATATCCTGAATAATTCTGTTATTGTTGCTATACGAACATATAAAAGTTGTGTATGATTATCCCACTTGCCTGTATAACACATTATCCTTTTTATGTTCCAAGAACCGACTAAGAACTTAATTTCAAGTCACCAGCTTACCACCATCTGTTTCCAATAATGTTGTGAGAATGTCCTGTAAATTCGTTTTTCTTTCTAGTAACACACTTCGTATTAAAAATTATTCAGAACATGCAAATTTCCTAAATATCAATCAGCTTCGTTAAAGGTTGGACCTCGAATCCAAATCTTTTAGTGCCAACAGCACTCCCCCCCCCCCCCGAAAAAAAAGAGGCAGAGGGAAGTCATGTGACAATTAATAATTAGTATTCTAAGTATTGAGGTGTGTTTAGTCTAATATCCGCATACAAGAACTGAATTTTCGAATGCTGAGACTGTGATTTTAACTAACTAATTACTTGCTTCATACGAGAAATTCTTGGGGTCCAAAGGGCAATTTGTCCAGAAGGACTATTAATTTTGTTTTGGCATTTTGTATTGATTCACCACAAGCATTGTTTAGCTTTCCAAATTGTTGCCACTAAATATTATCACCCTGGATGATATTTAAAGAAATTAAATAATGAAGAATCTGCGTACATGTATGTGTGTTTCTCACATTGTGATAAACCAACTGTACGTAGAGCCATCAAATTTTGAATAATGTAATCCTCTTGTAAATATGGGCACCTGGAAGCCCAAATTTGAAATTTGTAATTTGTTTTATTATCAATTTCATATTTTGTAAAATTTAACCGAATTTTCATTAACAAACTCAAGGATTTCAAAGCGAGCAATGGGAACATTGTACAAAAAAAACATTTTTATCTTAGCGCGTGAGACTGCATATCAGAAATTCTAAAGATATGCTGAATTTAAAATTATTTTGCAATATTGCTCTTGAACTAAGTTTTATGGAAGTGCAAAGAACATGATATTTTATAAATAAAAGTACACAAAATGTTAAAAAAAAAAGCTCCTTTGAACATATTTTAAAATCTGAAAACTTTTTTAATACTTTTTATGGTTATGATAAAAACCTTGCTTTTGCAATTCAGCTTAATGTAAATTATCAATAATTATGCATTATTATTGGCGTATTTGATAATGGTGAAACACTCGAGGGCTTTTTTTCGTAATATGAGAGAGGGCTTTCTAAGGAAACTAGCTCGTATACACTTTACACATAAGGAAAATCACAAAAACGCC